CGCGTTCGAGGAACTTCAAAAGTATACTCAAAAGCATGCTCTCTACAAGGCTGCTTTAGCTATCTACCGCTATAATTCTGAACCCCTCGCTGTCATTACGGCCCTCTACGCTCAATATCTCGAGTCTAAATCCTCCTACAAGGAAGCAGCGCTCGCTTACGAATCCCTTCACAACTATACAAAAGCTACATCTTGCTATCTCGCCTCCGGACCTTCTCAATGGCGCGAAACTCTTTTCTGTGCTCTTACCGGCGGTGCAGATGGAAACCCAATGAGCGGCTCCGCACTCACCGAGTTAGCAAGCACATTGTATGATGCCCTTATCGAAAGCAAAGACTATTATGCCGCAGCAACTCTCCAGCTCGATTACCTCTCCTCTCTCGAAACCGCCTGCAGAACCTTCTGCAAAGGATATTTCTTCGCCGACGCCCTTCACCTGATTGCACTCAAATCTCGTCCCGATCTCCTCGAGACCGTCATCGACTCTGGTCTCGGCGATGCCCTCGCTTCAAGCACTGAATTATTAGCAGACTGCAAAGCACAACTCCTAGCCCAAGTCCCCCGAATCCGCGAACTGAGACAAAAAGCACTCGCCGATCCACTCGCTTTTTACGAGGGCGAAAGAGGAGGCGATGGAGAAATCCCAGATGACATCTCCGTCGCGGCTTCTTCTCGCGTTTCGACTAATCGTTCTCTGTTCACTCGTTACACGGGTAACGGAAGTGTCGGAACTGTTGGAACGGGAGTCAGTAGAGCTACATCTAAGAACAGACGAAGAGAAGAACGAAAAAGAGCACGAGGTAAAAAGGGAAGTGTATACGAAGAAGAATATCTCGTCGCCAGTGTCGGCAGACTCATGACGCGCGTCGAGGATTCCAGAGGCGAAGTCGAGAGATTGGTCGTAGGCCTGGTCAGAAGAGGCATGTGGGAGAGAGCGAGAGCGATTGAGGGTAGTATGGCAGAGGTAGTCGCTTTGTGCAAGGGGTGTGTGGGAGAGGTTTTTGGTACGGCGGATGCGGGTGCGGGTGTGAATGGAAATGGAAATGGAAATGGAAATGCAAATGCAAATGAACAGGCAGGCGCGGAAGGTCAGGACTATAGACCAGTAGGTGGCGATGCGGTGTATGCGGAGAGTTTGCAAGCGGCGGGGAGAAAGAAGGAGGCACCTCATCTTTCTGCGTTTGAAAAATTGACGTTGTTGGGTACTTAGTTTAGGTTCTCTGGGTAGTTTAGTAAAATAAAGTTGTGGTTTTTCGGGAATCTCACTCAGAAACGCGTTGGTTAAAAGATTCAGCAGAGTGCTTGAAGGATTGTGGAGGTGATGTGGTTGGGTCTCTGAATGTGATGTGTTACAATGCCTCTGTTGTCTCAAGTTACATGGGATGCCCATCCATACATCTATTTTGTGCATGTGGAAAATATAATGGAAGTGGCACGCGCTGAGTTTTGTTGTACATAATACAACACCACGAATGCCTCAAAGGTCCTTGTGCCATACAATTCATATATTTACATTTTTCTTTCATTCCAAATACATAGTATACATGCATGATCGTCAAGCAGCCACTGGGACTGGCTCTGTGGGCGTGGATGTAGGTGTAGAAGTGCTCTCGACTTCTTCAGCTTCTGTAACTCCAGCCTCTCCATCTGTGCTAACACCCACCTGTCTCATGATCGTTCCTCTCCTCCTCGAGATTACCTGTCCAATCTTCAATAACATGCCTCTGGTAAGTTTACCCTTGCCCTTTGCTTTTCGTAATTCTCTTTCTCTCTTATTAATTTCCTTCAATGGCGTCCTCATTGATGCAATTGTCTTCTTCTTCGCTTCGTTTTGTCTATCTTCCTCCAATTTTCTCTCTAGGTATTCGGGATCGTGTCTCGTCCTGAATATAGAATATTTATTTCTCAACTCATCAATCACACTCCCTGGCATTGGTGGCGTAACGAGCGTAGGTACAAATGTCTTTTCTTCAACTTCCATTCGCAGGGTATCGCAATCGTAGTCTTTCTTTTCTCGAGGTTCGACTTTAGGCCATGGAATTATAATATTGGGACGGTCACCGGCACCGGGGATTATGCGCTGCCATTTGACGGTTTGGGCGTGACGGTCTCGGAACATCTTGTGATGGGCAAGCTTTTTGGCAATGACGTCGCGCGTCAGGCCGGTCACCGGGTCCGTGTAAGGAAATACTAGTTTGACGTTTTTGAGGGAAATGCCTTGAGGGACAGAACGGGTGGGACGACGGTCTTGCTCGGAGTCTGATAACATCCATTTGGGTACTGCTATGTCGATCTGATAATTTTGTTAGTTTGTGGCAATGAAACCTTCATGGTGGGGGGTAATTGGAGATGGAAGCACAAAAGATCACAAATCATACCATATTCAATCCATCACATGTAACTTCTGCCCTCTGTTTGTCAACTTTCTCTACCTTCCCAATTTTTCCCTTGTCCCGCCCTGAAATTACAACAACTCTGTCCCCCGCTGTAATGTTCAGATGTTTTTTCCCTCCCCATAGATCCAATATCTCCAATATCTCTTTCCTCCTCGCAACCGGAACCTCAGTGAAATGAGCCTGAATGGCTCCATACGTCTCAGCCTGCGAGCCAACATCTCTCTTTGGAGCCAACTCGTTCAATTCCCAATCCTCCCTTCGCACCACCTTATTTTCCTTCATCCTTCTTAGATTTTCCGCACCCCATTGCTTCATCCTATCCTGCCGAAGGGCAAAAGCGTCGAGCTCATTTTTGCGCTGCCTCCTTGCAAGCCGGCGGGAGGCTTGCTTTTCGGCGAGGATTGTACGCCGAATGACTTTTTGCATGGTGGTGGGGAAGAGGAGGGGGGTTTCGTTTGGTGGTGGTGAGGGTGCTCAGTTCAACTTTTTTTGGATGGAGCTTTCGTTGATAATGGGCTAGTGATCTTTGGGTTAGCGCAGAATCCTTGATCGGGGTTAGAGTCACGTGGGAAGCTCGGGGCTTGAATTGGGTTTTAATTGGTTCAGGGGCAAATGGAGCATATGTTTGTTTATATGCCAAGTGAGGCTATCCAATCAAAACATAATCTTTCGGTTTCAGGGACACGGCACGTGAGGTAGATTTCATTGATTATCTTAAGTTGTTGTATTGAATTCCCCAGACAATGAATTTTCAAATATGACCTCGATCGCATTCATAAAACGTTGGAATGACATCAAGAGGTGGAGAGAAGACAGATGTCATAGCAAGGAGAAGAACGTATCGGAATATCCATCAATCTTGCGACTCTTGTTCGCAGTCCTATCTTTCCTGGTAGAAAAGAAATGAGGCGCGAATGAATGAGTGAGGCGCAGATTGTCTAGGAGCTCAGCCCCATATGAAGTGCGTAAACTTGACGGATATCTCCTGAAGTTGGGGACGTGCTCATGTCCATCAAAGGAAGGGAAGTTTACACTGTAGATAACTCAAGACTTAACAATTGGAAGGGCATTCCTGTTGTGATCCAGTATGTAAGATGCCATACTATGTATGTATGCGGTGATACGATACGCCTGTAAATACGCCTGATAGAAACCCTAGAAGGGAGCATCCGTAATCAGAGTCATGTTTTTCAAGTATACGAGCCAAACTATATACTAGTCATTTCATTCATCCCGTCAAGTCTAGACTAGACTGTTAAGCTTGGTGTCAGGACTCAGGAGTCAGGAGAGGAATTGAAAGAGAGAGAGAAAGAAAGAAAGAAAGAAGGAAGGAAGGAAATATGGACTCTGCCAAGGAAGCATATCAGAGCTTACCACTATCTTTACAGTTATCATTCAAAAACGATCCTGTATTGATTTTAAAGTTGCAGTGGAAGGTTGTCGCTAGCGCATGAATGTATATATATATATATATTTCTAAAGTATCCCTTGATGTTGAACAACATTTTTGTAGATGTGGTGGCTCAAATGAATATCCAATGTAAGGATTGCTAGAAAGTCCTTTTCATGTGTTGCATTGTACACCGATGCTGAGAAAGAGCGAGAAAGAGCGAGAAAGAGCGAGACAGACACAAGGCAAAAGGCAAAAGGAATAAGAAAAAAGAATAAAAGGAATGAATGAATGTATTTCGTAGAGGCAGAATTGTAAACAAACAGTCGAGCGGCTTAGGGACTTCCTTGTTCATTGTCATCAATCTTTTTGTTTCCTACCTACCCATGGTGACATGGTGTGAGGTTGGTGGAGTGAATGATAGTATGGTACGGCATGGTATGGAATGGGTGCATAAAATACGTGGAGAATACTCCGTACAGCATGTCACCTTACCTAGCAGATACTAATGTATGAACCTTGGTAGCCCCTTAGTTGATGGCTAGGGTTATGATTGAGGAGAGTTAGTGTTGATAGATATTGATATTAGATATTAGATGGGATGGTCCCTCGCAGACCGCAGACCGCAGTAGCATGAGGACAAGAGATGTCCAGTATCTACTTGCAGCAACAACAAGTATTCCTGAGGTCCGACGGTGTGGTTGGAAAATAGATACTCATGATCCAAATAAAACAGAATACTCCCTCCCTTGTCTACCCACCCGAGCCACCGAGACAGCTAATGGAATACTGCCTCCTTCCCACGCACAAGAGCCGAACAAGAATCCTGTCAATCACTCACTCCGTGTGAACTCTAGTACTGTAGACATCATGAAAAGAAAAGAATGAGTAACAATGTATCCAATCATATGAATCGTAAACCATTCGAGATTCCTTTGAAATATTCCTTAGACGGTTTCCCATCCAATCCAATCCCTTCATAGATGGATTGATTCACCGCATCAGCCCAGTTGACCATAGCCCAGATTTTTTTTATTTATGCTAGATGATTCCCATAGTAACCAAATTGAATGTTGGCGGCCTTACAATTACAATCACAAATCATAAGGCCATAACATTGGAACCGACTAGCTATTAGGTTTCTCCAGAGGTTGCCTTCTTGAACTCATTTCCACCTTCAACAACCTTTCCAATTAACGAACTTTCATCTGCAACGACCCATACGATCAGTTTACATACACAACAATTTAATCAACAACTTCACTCAGTCGCTCTCTTTAACAACCCTTATCACAACCTTTGCCAAAATGGCGGAAATTAGAAGAAAGCTCGTTATTGTCGGAGACGGTGCTTGCGGTAAGACTTGCTTGTTGATGTAAGTACCCATCTACCTTTCAACGGTTTTCTAGTTGATAAAATCAATAAAAGTTACATCCACTAACAATTCTTCCAGTGTCTTCTCCAAGGGAACCTTCCCAGAGGTAAGCCTTACACCGACTCCTGAAAATCATATGCGAATCAAATGCAACGCGGCCATCGCGTCAACTATCTGTTGATACTGGCTGGCATCGAAGCTGTTGATGGAATATCATTATATCATCGGATCCAATAACTGATGCATCTTCTACTATAGGTCTACGTCCCAACCGTCTTCGAGAACTATGTCGCCGATGTCGAGGTCGATGGAAAGCACGTTGAGTTGGCTCTATGGGATACGGCTGGACAAGAAGATTACGATCGTCTTAGACCTCTATCATACCCAGATTCGCATGTTATCTTGATCTGTTTCGCCGTTGACTCTCCCGATTCCCTTGATAACGTTCAGGAGAAGGTACGATTCAATAGATGATCCCATCTGCTATTATCATGATAAGACGATTGCTGACACGTGCCTGAACAGTGGATCTCTGAAGTCCTCCATTTCTGCTCGGGCCTCCCAATCATCCTCGTTGGATGCAAGAAGGATTTGCGCCACGACCCAAAAACCATTGAGGAATTACACAAGACCAACCAAACCCCGGTCTCAGAAGATCAGGTAAGGATACATCAAGATACGGCGCAGTTTGAAGGCAGCTGCATGGCCGAGAACGAAATTGAACAAAGAAAGAATCATGCTAACAATTCCATCAATAGGCTCAACGTGTTGCTGATAAGATTGGTGCTTACAAGTCTCTTGAGTGTTCAGCAAAGACCAATGAGGGTGTCCGTGAGGTGTTTGAACATGCCACACGTGCTGCACTCTTGACCAAGAAGGAGAAGAAGAAGAAGTGCATTGTCCTGTAAAGCTACTGTTATCAACTCTTCTCTTTCTCTAATGCGATCGGATTTTATTTTACTGCGAAAGTAGCTCGGTTGGGTGACGGGTTCATGCTAGCAAGAGGGAATTGTTCTTACGGAGTGCATGGCTCTTCATCGGCATATTAATCTATCATCCTCTTGATTGATAATACATGGACCAATATCTTCAAGTTTCTCGCACCAATACCGAACACTTCTTTCTTACTACACATCTGGGTATCGACACAAATATCTCAGGGCATACGAACGGACAAATATGTCTCTTTTCTTCCGCAAATTGTGCCACGTTAGTTTCTTCTCTGTGTCTGTCTTTTTTCTCGCAAGATCTTTGTTGTTTCCTCTCATCTTCTTTTTCATGCGTGCGGTCAAGAATGGATCTGAATCATAAGGGTGCTTGCTGCGTGCGTTACGTCCGTTCGTCCTCATTATTGCTCCTTGCGTCAGAGCGGGTTGTGTAGGGCAGGGAGGGCTTGGAGGATAGGGAACGAATGGACTTTCGCATTTTTGTAAGGTGTAATAGCAATAGGCGTAGTCTATCAAGAGATGTTTTCTGAGGTCTGATATTGCACCAATACACTTGAGGCGTTCATTCTTTTTATTTTACACTGGCTGAGTATTAATGGATGGGTAAATAGGTGGCAATGATCTTTGCGTTCTTTTTATATTTGATGTTTGATGCGTGCGTGTTTTTTGTGAACTTGTGATTGAGGTAAGTGATTTTATGATCTTTGTCTTTTGGCACTTCACATGCGTTTTCTGCCTCGTGACTTGATGTATACGAAACACTGTTCAACGTCTAGAGCTCAACTACAAAAGATTGTCATACTTGGCCTGCTAGTAGGGAGGCCTTATTGTTCCTTTTAAGCTGTGATAAAGCGAAAAACAATGGTTCGATCAAAAGCTCGCACGGAAGATCGAGCTTGTGCTTGAAGTCCGTATGCATTCTCAAAGCATTGATTTGGCATAATGGAAATATGAATATACACCTGTCTTGGAACGTTTCCCGCCATTCCCGATCCAAGTCCTGTCTTTACGCATTCATCAACATTTTGTTCAAGCCGGTAGTACCCATCGACGGCCGGAACATGCTCTTCTGCAGTCTTCGTTTCGCAGATGTACGTGTAAATCAGCTGTTTTATTGCTGATATACAAGAAAGTAGATTTTTGGGGATTTTACATGTAGGCCCATTATGATGTTGGATTTCCTATATAATGGGTCGTTTTCCCCATCGGTGGGTTATCTATACAATATTCAACAATACAACAGATTTCAGTATTCTGTATCATTATAACTTGATCATCTATCTTCATATACTCAGCATTATAACAAGTCTCTGTCGTAGTCAAGATGGAGAGAAGATCTGCCAATAATTCTAGCACCACCCATTCCGGCGGTGCTTCTGGTAGAAATGGAGGCGACGGACCAGAGAGATACGGGCAAAGTGGGCGGTCACATCTTGATCCTACGGGTAATAAGCCTAAACAAAACTCTGGTGGAAGCGCTGGTGGATCGCGCGGTTCAGGGAGTCATAAAATTGACGACAGAGCGGCAGGGAAGAAGCCGAGGGCAAATTAGTAGATGGCAGATAGCAACGACAGAGCCACTGCTTCCATCGTAGAGAAGAATGGCAACACCGAAACTGCGTCCAAGAAGCGTCAAACAATCGTAACTTAGTTCAGATAAGGACACATTCAACATAGCGAAAGATCAAAATAGATCACTCATTTCTTACAGGAGAAATCATCTCAGAAGAAAAAGGAGATAGCCAATAGGTATTCTCGAATAGGGTTGGATTGTTAGAGCGGATCAGTGATTGGTGCTTTGAGGAGCGAAACTTGAATTTGAGATGTTGCAATGGAAAGTGGCTGTAGCTAGTGTTGAATATGATACTCTTACCCATATATGCATTGTGATATTGGTCCGCGTGTTTGCAATTGAGTACGTTGGGAGTAAGTGTTGACAGTTGGAGAGAGTTGGGATGAGAGGGAAGGATGTCTTGGGGGCAGTATCAATGTTGAGTATTGGGAGAGTGGCTCTGGTTGGGAGATGATGAAGAGGTATCATTTTGCTGACACATATTGTTGGTGAAGCTGTTGTGTGTTGGTGATATATTGATGCAGTTGGAATCATGGAGTGATAGTGATACCCGTTTTGGAAGCTGATTTGCATGATAAGATCAATGGTTCATAAAGTGCTTTATGTATGAATTGTTGCTTGGTGTTGAGAGTTTCAGCATGATATGCAGAAAAATGTAATTCGTTTAGGAAGCTGCTGCAGGACGAAGAAGTTGAAGTTGACTTCTCAAGAAAACGAGCTTAGGAACCTACGTCCAACTGATACAAACGTGAAAATCCAAAGATCACTCAAGAGTCTACTTTCAAGATAGCCCTCCAGAATTTGCCTTCATAGCGTTTTCGGGATGGTTTTAGATGACTCTCGAGTAAGAATTATTTATTTACCTGCCGCCAAATAGTCAGGTGATAATTTCTTGACTTCACTTCTTCGAAACTTCACTTCATTCTTCACTCCGCTTATAGCCGACCATAATTGAAATTCACTCTATACCAGGTTCGATTCTCATTCTGCTTAGCGCCATTCAGATCGCGAGGCTGAAATAAACATGAAGTAAACTTCTCGTCAGGATTTGTTTATTCCTCCACAACAAACGAAACAAACACAGCAGCCACGACTGGAGTACACCATCATCAAGATGTGTATGTTCAGGATCACCACTTACGATGAGTGTTGGGGTCAATACACTCACTTCTTAATTTGCTCCACCAAATCATCCAACAACAATGAACTTACTTCTCCACAAGATCGAGTTCTTTCGGCATTGAAATGTCCAAACTTGAAATCCGAGCACATCAACATCGGAGGTTCGAGATGTAATTGCAAAATCAATCCGCGGGCCTTCAACACTGTTTGCAACAGAATGTGGGGAGGTGACTTTGTCGGAAGTGTCAACTGTAGCATGAATCCCGGATCTGCAGTAAAATTTGAATTTCGCGGCAGAGAATGGGAGAACTGCACCAATGTGGATATGTTACTTAGAGGAGGCAATCGCAATGTTCCGGATGATTATAACCCAAGTGTGCAAGTATGGAATGATAGCGAGTGGGATGGAGACAATAAGCAGGTAGATTGGAGAGACAAGGATTGGGTCACGTTGGCAGAGAAGGGAATGGTTACGTGGCAGAGCCGCAAGACTCGAAAGCCCAGTCATGTTCAAGATCCGATGACACCAGGAGGAATTCAGCTTCCCGAGGAGAGTCAAACTTACGAAGAGGTTCAACTGGAGAAAAGCGAAATGTTTTCCACCGAGCACAGTTTGACAAGACCGAAAGGTCAGAAGCTCCCTCCACGGCCTGACTCGACAAACCATCATGTTGGCAGTATTGGTGCTGCTGTAGTTGAGTGGAGGCAATTTAAAGACCAGAAAGAAGCCACTGTAGATGGTCATCAGCATTTGCCGTCTCGTCCACCAAGCGTTGGTCAGCCACAATATCAGAGGAAAGCTTCGGTTCCACATATCAACCTGGCTGAACATGGGAGACAGTTGGTAATGGGCGTCGATCGTCAGAATCAACAAAGCGTGCTGTCATCATTGACTGCCACTGTGCCAACCCCACCGATACTTCCAACCGGTCCAAAGGCTATGCCGGTTCGCGAGGCAGAGCGGCCGCATAGAGAGAGGAAAAATAGCCAAGGAGTTCAATCGGGAGTACAATCAAGTGCAGCTAAGATAATGCGTTCATCCATTCCGCTTGGACCGAAGGTGTTACCTGTTTGGCAGTTGGCTCGAATTCTGAAGGAGAAACAGGAACAGGAAAAGAATAATCTTGGAATACCGCCGGGAAATTACCAACAAAGTTCGACGGATCCGGCTGCTGCTATCACCACCCGCGAGAATAATATTCACGATCAGGACGCAAGTCAAGCAAGACTTCAAATCCCCGATTTCCTGGAAACTTCTTCAGCTCCTGGTGCTGCAAGTGAAAGCTCGCAAGACCAGCGCGAGGAGGGAAATGATCAGAAGAGAAACAACTTCTTACGTAGTACCTACAAACAACGAGTGGTCCTCCGAGAAAAGAGATCGAAGGACCAAGTGGATAAATCTGGTCTGTCTGTTCAGGATTGTTTCCAGCATGTCACTGCACGGATTCCTAGCAGAGAGGATGGTAACCCATCTACCAACGAGACTTTCGGTAACCCCTGGAATGGAGTATCAGAATATGTCGTTTCTCAAGAGTACAACAGTACTTTACCGGAGTCTGATGATAGGAACTTCGTATTTAACAACTACACTGCTTCAGAACAGTCCCCAGATAAGGTCCAAATGACAGATCTTTATGAGGCATCGAACTCTACATCTAAAGATTTCTTTGGAACTTCGCAGCAAGCTTCAATCACAATTGTAGGAGAGCCGCAAGCAGCTCCACATATTGCTTCGGACCCTCTACGCAGAGGAGGTCTGACACCTCTTGAGCCACGCCAAGTGCAAAGATCTCAAGCAAAACGTGCAAACTTTGAATTTCATCCATATTCGAATCCCAATGAAAGCGAGCCAGATGCCGAAAGAAGAGCTAAGCAGCATCAAGATATTGCAGAGCAGTCGAACCGCCAAGCTCTTGAGCGGGAACAGAAAACTCAGGATGATGTACAGACTCGAAGACAACCCGATGTCTTTGTACAAGAACCAAGTCATTCACAGGAAAATTTCCAAAGAAAGGCAATCAGAAAGCTCCAAGAAATTGAAGAGCAATCCAATATACCAGGCAACAGAAACACGCGAGATATTCTCCATGATTTCAGTCAGCTTGACGCTTTTCTACAAGACTTCACGCTTTCTCAGCAAGATACCGCACATGAGATGTGGATGATAGAAAAAGCCAAGGTTGATAAGAGGTTTAGTAAGTTTTATGGAACCATTACTACTCCTAACAAAGAGGCCACAAGGAGCCCACAAGTGAGCGATAATGTAGTCAAGCAGCCACGTCAAGAGAAAATCGATGAGGAAAATGGTGTTGAGGAGAGATCTGTTGAAGATAGGTCTCTTCCTCAAAATAAAACTTCACCTGCGAATACCTCTCGCCTCCTGCCAAAATCCGAATTACCTTATCTACTCAAAGAGAAGCGGAAGACCATACTGATGGCAAAAATGCTACATGATCAAGACATGAAGGAGAGATTTGTGCAGGATGTCCCTTTTCCGCAACAAAATGTAGCCCGTGATAGTTGGATTATTGTAGCAAAATTGGTAGATCGCCGCTTACAGAAACTCCTCGATCAAATCAGAACATGCGTTGTCAGTGAAGGCGTAGAAAATTATGCTGAGGACATTGAATATAATGAAGAGGAGCACCGGTACAAATTGCCTTCTTGACTCAGAAAACTGTAAATGCTGATATATTCTTTTAGGCAAATTCAAGAAAAAATACTAAGAAGTGTTAATCGAAAGTAGGAACAAAAACATCCCTCGTTGCACTATTCTTGCTTTAACTAACGATTTAAAGATTTGGCGAGCAGCTCAGGAATCTTGAACGTTCAGCAAAAACTCGAGAAGAGAAACGAGTTCGTGAAGCAGAGAAGCAGAAGAAGCTCAATGATCGCAAATCATTCAATAAGCAAAACCGGGTTGATGGCGGTACTGACCTTTCGAATCACACTGGTCGTACAGAAGTTACAAACAACCAACAGGAAATGATCAGCACTTCACTCGGAGATCGGGCAATGGGAGATGTTACGGATGCTTATGACGAAGCCGATATTGAAGTACAACAAAAGCGAAAGAGAGACGTCCAATACTTTGATCATTCCCCACGCACATCTGCCAAGAAGAGAAAGTCTGGCGAAAATAAGCTAGCTGTTGAGAGCGAACAGGCACGTAACCAGAGATTGAGGGATTTGTATTATTCTGGACTCATTCCGAGTATGGAAGATGCCATGGGTCTTGAGAAGGCTGACGCTGCCACACTAAAAGTCGATAACAAACGAGACCAAGACAAGCGAAAGGCCAATTCCCAGTATACTGATCTAATGACCTTGAAAGATGAGATTTCTAGCAACAATAAGCCTCAGGCCGAAAGCTCTGGACGCAAAGCATGGATTGACATTGACTTTGAAGCTCAGGGCAAACGTACTAAGACTAATCGACGAGGAGATACTCATATATTGTAACGTTTTCGCTAAATTCGATTGAAAAAAAGCTGACACTTGGAATAGAATCCCCGATACTTTCCACCGCTCGTTCCCGAAACTGCCAAATGAATCGAAACAAGATTTTCGCAGAAGAAAGCTTGCTGCATACATCGTCAGCGATGAATACAAACAACGTCAATCAACTGGCTCAGGCACCAGGAATAGCACATTGACCAATGGTCAAGAACAAGCCAACAGTGATGAGGATCTGTCAGAGTATCTACCATCAGGTGCGTATCTTTTGTCCAATCTGACTAAAGAAGAATCATGCAGAGCTTAATAGATACACGTTAGGTATGAATCAGTCGAAGTTGAGCAACGAAGTTGGCCCGCATGCCAAGGAGGAGAATATTAGAAAGCCGAGACTTCCGCGTCAAGCGAAAAATACGTAGGCAACTAGTCATTCTTCGAATAGATGCTTTGGATGTTCGCTAATCAACTATAAAGTTCTGCTCGAGAAGAATGGCTTCGAAAGCAAGATGGTAGAAAACTTGAGGAACAAAGACAACAAGTCGGTAACACAGGCAATGGCAAAAAAGAGGGGATGGTAGGCAGGCTTGTTGGAGGAAGAATTGATGTTGACAACCAAATTCCGAGCAATATGAGCGATAACCAAGGACTTGCAGATTATGGATCAGGGAAGAATGCTTATATGAAGACGGAAGGCGGCAGCCGACCAGAAAGCAGAGGTAAGTTTTCTCCCACCCACCTTAACTTCTCCCGTCTGCAAGTACGCGGCGGAACAGAACATCATGGATCCTTCAAACTTAATAACATAGCTTCAGGCTTTTTCGGAACTCAACAACAACTTCAGTCGTCCAATACAGAGCTGCCAGCGGTAGTCCAGCAAAATGACTTAATCATGGCAGGGAGCAATATCGAGAGAGCTATTGATTTGACGTCTGATTGAGGAAGGGTATGGACGTTGATTAGTAATTTGCGAGCAGGTGTTTGTTGAAGTAGTTTCTTTGCATGGATATCGCCACCTCTTAGGAAGACATTCAGTAGTTAGCAGGGACATAGGACAAATACTTCTTGTCATTCTAAATTCAAAGCGCACAACATACACTTGATCTGTGGACTCGGCAACAGCAATTTCTGATTCTGATTGATGTAAATATGCTTGGTATAGATCTAGTTATTGTGACTGTATTTGCTGTAAGCTATATATGTGAGCCGTGAAGTGGCTATGTTGTCGAATTGCATTATTCGCAGCCAGTGGAATCATATCACGCTACAGTCCTCTGGAAAAAACTGGTACTCTAAGACTTCTACTATGCTTTTCCAAAACATGAATGACATTGCTAAGTAACATAAAGAGCAACACAATGCTCTAATCCTTTGAAGTCAATGTCCACTGTCATCAACCTCTCATCCAAAATTTAACAACCTCATTCACCAATTCCAATATACAAACTTCTCTGCTATCATCTGATAAGATAGAATAGACAAAAAACCTTTACTTTAGCCCAGTGAATAGACAATCGTGCCGCTATAGATACTCGTAGTTCCAGAAAGTTCCTTTGCAATGTCTTCTGCCACAAAAAGAACTTTCTATTCTCGAACTCCAATTCTTGTAACAAAGCTTCTTTCGAGTTTGTCTTGCAAGATTCTCAACTTCATCCATACTAGATACAAACAATAATCACATATTAAGAAAGCTTTTTTTTATTATCTATCTTTGAATCTAAGCTGGAGCTTTCAATATAGAAAAAAGTCTTTCAACAACTCTGTTGTTTACTTTTTTGTCCATCTCAGCTTAAAACCCGACTTTCGAAAACCCATCGCATCACTTCTTATTCATCCCGATTCGAACTTCAGGACCCAATTTTATTTCACTACTCAAACATAAGACTTGTCGCATCCAACAATCTACACCTCTATCAAGATGTGTGTAGATACTCTCATCACCTACACTGCTTGCAATTGCAAAATCATGATCAAAACTATCTGTTTTGATCATATCCAACACACTCTCAAGCAAGAAGATAGGAATCCATGTCCTAAGGAAGTTCATGGTCTTCATACAATAAGGTAAGACGAGTCTGCAGTTTTACTTTTCTTGGTCTTTTGGTTGGTCTGGATGTCCAGATTTCATGAAATTGCTTTTTTTCTTGGTCAACCTTCGGAGCATACAGCTTGCATGCACTTCCATCTCAGACATGACTTCGGATTTGCCATTCACCCCGAATTCATTAGTCTTTCATCTGGCACTCTCAGCTTTCTGCTTTCTCTCCCAAAGAAGATCTAATCGATATGTCTCCCGCAGAACAAGCCCCAACACATGCTTCCTCAAATCAGGTAGTAAACTCGAAGACGGCCGCATTTTCCGACATGGATCCCACCGCACACGTAACTACTACGAATTTGAACGCGATCCCAATGATCCCAAGAAACGTTGGGAGCGCTGGGAACGTAAGAATCGGGGCAAAACTCGTCAGAGAGCTGATAGTATGGAGGCCAATATCAGTGCTGGTGAAGATAGGTTTGTTTCCCAAATGCACTTTTTAATTCTAAAATTACCAGCAAAACTTGAATCGTAATGTTTTGACTGTGACTAACTAGTTATGTGATAGGATGATGAATCTTGAGGCTGATAATAATGACAGTCATAAGGAGAGAGAGTCTCAGATCAGAGAGTGGCAAGAGGAGACTAAGAATAATAGACCGCCCAGGGTTAAGGTAGAGGAAAAGGTGGCTGAGAAGGAACAACTAGCTCCGGGTCGAAAGACTGTCAACAATGTTCTTTATGACATTTCCGATCCTCGCAGCGATGATGAATTCTCTGATGATGATGACTGGAAGCCAGAGTCTAAGTATATTATCTCATTCTCCTATGCACACTGCGATCACAAACTAACACAATTCGTAGGGTTGAAGTCGACCCTGGAGATACAGTCCCATGGTCCTCCAACAATCCACGCTCTTTCTCCGACCCTACACGTGCAAGTGGCAACAACACCAACCAAGACGCATATACCTCGCCCAAGTCCCGCAACGACGGAGCTTTGTTCAGAGACGACAACACCCATGCTTTCAACAGCGCCGAGCCTGATCGTCCCGCCACCCCCCACTCCCAATTCAATTTCAATCCTCCTTTCACCGGCACCCACACCAAATACCATCTCGACAAATCGAGCTCCAGTCACGGATCGAGCTCTGCACGCACCAAAAGCGTCATGGATCTCGGATCTCCCAAGCACAGAGCGCCAATTCCAGCAAAGGTACCACCAAGAAGACATGATCTCTATCGTCCGCGTTATCCTTCCATGCCCGTTGATGCTAACACTAGTTTCTGGGCTGGCCATCTCAATCAAGTTGGTTCGAGTCGTCCTCCTCCTTACTTCCCAAGTCCTTGGACTCTTGCTCCACACAATGCTGCGGCTGGTGGATTATCTAGCTTCGAGGGAGTCGGTCGTGAAAGCACCGCGAGCGCAAATGGTGGGTCTGCTTTCGCTGATGGAGAAACCCGGGGTGTATATGGTAATTATACAGATGGAGAGAATCACGAGAGAGAGAACAAAAAGGCTCGGGTTGAGAGATCTGATGCTGGCAATCTCTATTTCGATAATACCTGTAATTCTACCAGAGACCATGGAAGTGGCGGGATTTCAAGAGACGAGGGCGAAAAGCAGACTGCCAATAGTATGAATGATGCTGGAGATGATATTGAGATGGTTGAGTAAATTGGCGATTTGTTATCTGGGGGGATGGAATTTGTTCTGGCTTAATACTTGCATTAGGGGTCTTCTGCGGTTTTAATTTGACTCTTCGGGTTTTGATGAGGAAGGCTGATGGATATTTCAATGCATTTCCACGAAGGCGTTAAGATCATCCGGAAGTTGAGGAACCGAACAGGTAGATCTCGAAAAGTTAGCATAGGGGAAGGGATGGTTTGTAAGATAGATAGGAAAGATCGCGATACTGGGTAATGATACCGTTTATTAATTACATTAGGGTTTTAATAGCATACTGTGTTGATTAGCAACGAGGCGAGCTAGCAACAATAGCGTGTGATTCTGCAGCAGAGTTAGGATCAGCAGACTAGGTCATCAATGAATGTTCCGTATTCAGTTTCTGCGAGAAAAGCTCATCTACCATTAGCATCTAGAAAATGGTGAAGACTTCTTCACATACCCCAAGCGGGGCCATGGTTTCCGGGAATCCGGACTGCAATCCGAAAACTATGTGCTCTCATAGTTGAGAGCAAGCTAGTATCAAACATATGTTCAGAATGGCAAATTGTAAGGGCAACAAAACTAGAACCAGCAATTGAAAGCCTCTGGTCCGCAGTCTATTTTTTAAAACATCCCGAGTAGGATATTCTATACATTGATGAGTATTCCCCTCGGGAAACATATTCATTCCTTGACATCTCATCACATCCATCATGACTGCACTTGCCCATCTACCAGCAGTAGATGTCCACATTATGATCACCATTAAAATTGCACTTGTAGTACGCTGCAGTTTTGATATGTTATTGAATATTTATATTCTATTTTCTTTCTGTATCTATGTTGGTTGGTTTTGCACAACCGTCTATTTGATGCTCGAGTCAGTTTCCTCTTCTCAAATTATCTCTTCTTTTCCAAAGCCGCAAGGGAATTTTTGAAGGAAAAAGTTTTGCGCAAGACCTGAATAAGTCATGCATAAATTCCACCACCATTATCTAGAATGCCTCTAAACACCATCTGATTGCTCAGTCTATCTCCAGAACCTTATGGAATATCTTAAGGAAAGTTAAAGAAAGTTCAGATGTTTAATTCCTCCTGGCCGTTATCATAATTTCTAATGCGAAGAATAAGCAATTTTGTCGAATGACGCATAAATGACAAGCGTCGTGGTTGATTATGGTATGTGATGAAGAAGGGCATTGTCAACCCAAACAGTCGTATGTAACCGAGTGGAAATAGAGACCATCTACTTTTGACGATCGATAGAGGGAGAATTGTCCAAGATCTTTTTATTTTCGAAGGGATGATTGAGCAGCAGATTTTGATGCCAATGCTTCTTTCAACAACTTGTTTGCAGCTGCCACTTGCTGAAAACCGTCTTTGATACCTTTCAAATTGTCGAGCATTAGACGAATCTTTGCGGTAGGAGCATGGTGGGGACATGCAGGTATCAACTTCGAGTAAACAAAACTACAGTCTGGACAAGACTGAACCGGAGGTCGAGACGGACTTGGAAGGATTGGTGGCATTGCTGATAAGGAAGCCCGCTGATGTGAAGTAGATCCAGGAGGGCGACCTCGTTTACGTTTCACGGGGATCTCTATGGCTGGAATAAATCGACTAGTTGGACTTGATCTGTTTGAAACGCTAAACTCTGAATCAAATTGGATAGGATCTCTTGTATGACCAGATGGTGCGGCAAGTGGTGTAGGCATTATAGACGATTCTTTGGCATGTGATGGCGGATAATGTAGATCGCTAACTGGCATAGACATTCTATGAAGATCCTCTGCTGGTATCCTAGAAAGCGTTCCGTGATAGAATGGTCCCGTGAATCCTGGCGCAGTTTCTGGATATGGTGCTTTGTGGAAGCTTTGCTCCGATCGATTACGTTCCTCTGCTTTCAACAGTCCGACGGCATAATTCAAAGATTGTAGCTGACTTTCTGTGATTTCTCGTAACTGTTGATCAAGCTTTTGTATGTGTGCTGCGTGGTCCTCAATGGGAAAATACTTGACACCCGACTTTTTCTCAGCTATTTTGCGTTTCTTGTAAGCCAAGTCACGTCTGGCTCTTTCTGCGTCACGCGGTCTATAAATTCGAAATTGTTGGTCGAAAGCTTCTTGATAGTGCTGTAATCTCTGTACCCGCTTTTCAATTCGTTGCACGTAATCCTTGAGTTTTTCGTAGTAACTTTCATTATTGTCATGAATTGGAAGACTTAGTGGATTTTCGTCTAGATATGCAAAATCATTTTCGAGCTCTTTGACAAAGGGAGTCCCGGCTTCTACGAGTTGGTCTCTGATAGAGGTGTCGACTGCCTCGCTTTCGGCTGTTTTGCGTTTCTTATAGGGTGCTCGCTTCCTCATCTCGCCGTTAAGAGGTTCTTGTTGTCCATGATGCTGGATGGCTGATTTCTGTGGATCTGGAGCCGTAGACATTCTTTCAATTTGACGATTTTCTTGGCTATACTTCCCTGGATTGTCCCCTGATGGTCGAACCAGCCCCTCAAGTCTCTTTCTTTCACTATCGCAAGCCAGTCGTAACTTTTGTATTTCGCTACAAAGTACAGCATATTGCGATGTTGGATCTTCCCGCCTCTGTGACTCTGGTTCGCAGTATTGTTTGAGTTCATTGTGACGTTCGATGAGGTTGCTACCCTGATCAAGCCATTCTTCTGATCGTCGTTGGTATTCCTGTAGCTGCCGTGAGTAGTCTAAAGCACGATTATCCTGTGGTGGTACTAATTGATTTCTCGCTTTTACCCATTGTGCGGTGTCTTGGTGCAATTGGTGTTTTCCTTCCGTCAATTGTGGAGAGAGTTCTTGCCAAAATTGCCGAGCCTTTGCTTCTTCTTGACTATACCACCATAGTGGTTGATCGAGATCATATCGAATAAGCTCTTGCAGAGACTTAAATTGATCCTCGATATCGAGCTCATTTTGATTCGGCGCTACCAATCCTTGTATATTGTTCTTACAAATTTCGAGGAGATTGTGGCCGATATCAAGCCAGTCTTGTATCTGTCGAGTGTTAAAAAAGACGCGCTGGTTGTTAGTGATCACTTGGTGCCAATTTTCATGGTCTGTGTGCATCTTCTGAAGTGCGATCGCCGGTCCTTGGTCTTCAATATAGTTGTCATCTGCTGATCGTTAGCGGGATTGATAACCCAAATTATTGATCACTGCAAAGGAACCACGAGAAGAAGTGGAAAGTTAAAAATAGTGGCTTGGAAAATTCTGTTCCTTGACAGAATCCGGAGATGGCATTGCAGAATCAAGCAATCCCTTCTATGTGGTATCTTGCCTTCAGCTAGAACGCATGAACACTTAAGTGGTTCCATCTGAAACACTGACTTGACCGGCAGGATTGTCTCGATACTCTTTCACCAAAGCTCGCTTCTTAACGACCCGTGAAATGCGCGAATGAGCCACTTTTTGACGACCATCTATAGTCAATGAACACAATGACGATTAGATATCCCTGTTATGCTTCCTATCTTTACCACGAATTGATTTCACGGAAAGATTCTTGTTGCTAACTGTTATTGATTCAAGTGCAGAGCTGTCTGGCCTTTTCATCACAGAGCTATCTGGCTGAGTCTTAGAGCCATGTTCCTGCTTACCAGTTTGTTTAGGGGATGGCAACGTGAGAGTGAGTGATTGGAGACGTGGTTTAGCACCTCCTTGAGTGTTCATTTTGCGTTTTGATTCATTGGAAAGTGGGCGTGCGTTTATACGCTTTTTAGATTTCGTACCTTTGACGCTTGATTGTTCTGTTTCCAGTTCTCGGGCATTGGCGACTTCATCTGCGTCGGACTCAGCTTCGGACTCCCTCGCAGCATTTCCGCCAAACTCGTCATCGCTATCAGATTTTCGAGTCCGGCGACCATCTTTTCGTGGCGAGCCTTCGGGATCGTCTAAATCCATTAGCTCAGGATGTGACTTTTCGTAGTCAACGGTCTAAGTAGTTAGTAAATGACTTGTCAACTATCTTAAATCGACTGGCATGTGACTCACCTGTCGGGCGCGCTTTCCACGGCCAAATGTTTGCATATTCTTAGCAGCTTCAAGGGCTGCATCTGCCGCACGCTGTTTTAATATAGCATCCCATAATAGCGCTTTTGGAGCAGCCGGTTCGTCTTCTGTGTCTCCGAAATCTTCTACCAAATCTCCCTTGTCTTTGATCCACACACGAGCATGTGAGAATTGAGATTCTGCGGTGCCATCGTCATTAGTAGTATTCTCGACCTGAGATCGATCGAGGAGTTCGTCAACTGATGCTGGATCGTAGTAAATATTTTTGCTATTGTCGTCAAGAAGAACCGCTTCAGCGCCGTGTCTAAGAATTGCCTCAAGATTGTCCCCTGCATCGTCCTTCACATCTATACTTTCGATAAGAGCTTGATCGAGAGCCATCTTTTTACGACCAACTTGTACGATTTGTTCTTCTGCACTATCTTTAGTCACTAGTTGGAAGACAAGTACCTTTTTCTTTTGACCGATGCGATGAGCTCGAGAGAGAGCTTGAATATCTTGGTGAGGATTGAAGTCAGGATCCATGATTATAACGGTATCTGCAGTCGCCAAATTAATTCCGACACCACCAGCTCTGGTAGAAAGGAGAAACGCAAAAAGTTCTGAGTTGGGTGCATTGAATGCATCGATGCGCTTTTGCTTCTCAAGCGTACTGACGGTACCGTCTAGACGCTTAAAAGGAAGTTGAAGACCATTCAAAAAGTCTTCAACGAGATCAAGTTGCTTTAAAAATTGACTGAAGATCAGAACTCTGTGTCCTCGAGCTTGCAGCTTCGGGAGCATGATTTCCAATAATTGAAACTTAGAGGAGGCATCGATTAGATTTCGATGAAGGGCTTCATGACTCAGTGAAGTCTCCTCGATAGCAGAACTGTACAAGAAAGGATGACAAAGACATTTACGCAGTTGTATCAAAATATTGTTCAGATTTCCTCTTTCTGTGGGGCGGAGGGCCCTTTCTGATTTTCCGATGATTGATTTGATCAGCTCTGGATTCTTTGCTAAGATTGACTTGTAAAGCTGTTTCTGTAGAGAGCTCATGGAAACTGGTATGATTGTCTGTGACATAGGAGGCAAGAACTTCAACACTTGTAACTTGGTACGCCTGAGAAAGAATGGTCGAATGAGCTCATGAAGTTCGGGCAGATTGTCTTTTGTTAGCTCAGCATACTTTTCGTCCAACTTCGCGGCGTCAATAGAGTTATCTAAGAACTGTAGAAGGTTAAAAAGCTCTCGCTTGTTATTCTGCAATGGTGTACCAGAAAGGAGAACTTGGAATGGTATTTTCAAGGCTTTCAAAGCACCATAGAGAAGATTCTCATCATTCTTCAGTCGTTGGCCCTCGTCTACGATCATGCCAGCCCATTTGACTCTTTTGAAGAAGCCTTTGCTGGAGTCGTCGACTGGTGCCTCATATGAAGTTACCACGATATCAGCACGAAGATCAGAGCACTCATTAGGATACATTTCATACTTCATGGCCATTTCGCGAGCAGACCTAGCACCATAGTATGCAACGACCCGAAGGCCAGGTGCCCATTTTTTGATTTCTCGACGCCAATTGGGACAAGTCGAGTTTGGTGTAACAACAAGAAAAGGGGAACACTGCCAAAATATTAGTAGGTCCAGTCGAAAATTGTTTAGCACTTACCTTTGGTTTATCCTTCACAAGTGACGCGATCAAGGCGACGATTTGAATTGTCTTGCCAAGACCCATCTCATCAGCCAAAATAACGTTCTTTTGTCGATGGAAGTTGAACAGTAGCCAGTTCAGGCCTTCCATTTGATGTTTCATCATCTCGCCACCGATCAACGAATCAGGCTGTTTCTTCAGTACAACCTTCTTCTCGAAGTTTAGAGAACGAAATGCATCAATACGCTCCTTTACAGCGCTTGCAGACGATTGCTTGAAGTACTTGCCCATAACGTATTCGTTGTAAGCTGAGACAAAGTCACTCCAGCGATCAGCTTCATCTGGGGATGGAGGTTCCTCCCAAACAGATTCATCGTAGGTCAATCCTCTAAATTTGACTAGAACCTGGACAACGTCGTTGATATGAGCCTTGTCGTGTTCCTCGGACTTTGGTCTGAAAGACATGTCATATTCGACATCAAAAATAATCTCCATTCGTAGGTATTCCTCCGAAATCGCCTCTTCACTGGTCCATTTTGGTAACAAATTGGCACCCTCATCTCTACGAATGAAAGCTTTCCGCATTGTAGCTGGCGCAACACCCCAAACCCAGGCGCCAGGCATCCAAGAGCATTGAAAATAAGACTTATTCTCCCACTTGATGAGATATTCCTTCTCATCTTCGCGATAATCATCGAATACACTGCCTTTCTTATAAGACTTGTGGTCTAATAGTCTCCATGCAACTAAAGTTTGCATTTTAGCGGTAGACTGATAACACTCTTTGCACTGCCAATCCTTAGTGTATTCTTGTATTCTTTTGAAGCGCGTCTCTTCCGTATTCTTTGGAGTGACCGATTTCTTAGAACGTGATGGTAGATGCTCAAAGTGGAATCCACGCTGGCATCCTCGGCATCGGAACAAAACGATATCTGGATTGTTGACAAGATCTTCACGAACATTGGTGATTGGGTCATCGCCATCATTTTCCTCCCTCAACTTCTCTTCCTGCTTCGCGGTTTTCTTTACGGAGAATGCAGCACAAGATGCTCCAGGCTCATTACAGCTACTACAAGCACCAAGTTGAGGGGCGAGAGGATATTTCTTGACGGACAGACCGATACAGCGTCGACACTGCATGACGAAATGTTCGTGGCCAACTTTAGTGACCATATGCTCACGACCTGATCGATATCCTAAACAAATTCTATGTATTGACGAGGAGCATCCTTGGCAGTAAATGAGTTCACTTCGTCCTTTATTAGAATTCTTGCCGGTTCCACCGCAAACATCGCAGTCTTGATCATGAACCAAAGCAAAGGAAGACTTCGCGGATACCGGTCGATAGATCTCTCGAATGCTTATGACTTTAGGTGCGGCTTTTCCAGCTACTTCATCAGCATAAACCTCTTCATCGATGTCAACTTCTTCCATGTTCTTGCCAGTTTTGTTTCCGCGCCTTGATATGCGAGACGGGAGCTCTTTTGGTAACTTGGAACTATAATCAGATTTGATACCATAGGCTTGTGGCCGTTCACGCTTGTCAGGCTTCGAGGCTCGAGCGCTACTCGCGCGTCGTCTCTTGGGTTTAGCATATGCAATTTCGCTTCCTTCAGATTCGACTTGCAAATCACCAGCAAGCTCGTCCTCCTCCTCTTCATCTTCTATGTAATTGGCGAGAGTATTTGCTTTTCTGGGAGCAGCAGATCTTGTTGCTGTACGTCCTGATTTTCGAGATCCATGGCTATTTGAAAGAATAGGTCCCGATTGCGAGTCCTCCTCGTCCTCCTCATCATCATCGAAGATAGGTCGCGAAGACTGTCGACTACCAGCACGAGTACTTCGGCGTGCTTTTTCAATTTCAACAGTTGACATGTTATTCACAAGACGACGCTTTTTCTTTCCATTCTTCGGGAGCCTGTCATCGTCAGAGCTCAGCTGAATGCTGCTGATGTCGACAAAGTTGTTGTCAGTTAGCTGTCGGCGAGTACGTTTGCCAGCTCTAGAAGACATGCTCCGACTGGAATTTGATGGATTGTCAACCGTAATCAACTCCGAGGCTTCTCTGCTATTGAACTCGTTCAAAGCATTGTTGCCATTTGGAAGGTAAAGTAATCTATTGAACGTGATCTGTGATTTGGTTTAGTCAGAGTTTGACCTTGAAAGTGATACCTTTTTGTATGAAGACTTATGAGATAATATGAAGAAATTATTCATCAATATACATACGCGCAGGTTACTGCTGCCACCCACAACGGGAAGCACAGATGTCTCCATTGATATTGGAAATGATTGAAGAATTGATGTTTGACTCAAGCAAAGGAGATGAACAGGTAGACAGATGCCTGATAAATCGAAGTTGATCTCAATAAAAGTAATTTATTGTGATTAACTGAAGCCCAAAGATGGGCATGGCAAACTGAACTACAAGAACTACTTGAAGTTTTGCCGAAACTAGCAATAATAGGCAAGAGTGAAGTCATCAAACCTGTCAAGTTCCGTGGAGTCAAAGTTGAAGTCAACGATGTGAAGGGTAGAAGTTGTGTAGCAAAATTTGTGGCAAAAATTGGGCCACTTAATTTGACCTCCTTCTAAAAGAAGGTCAAATGCTTCAGGGTGGGATGACCACTTAAGTTGTGTGTAAATATTGGAAAAGCCAAACATTCTGGTGGATGCTGGAAGTACAATTTGGTAATAGGGTGGTATCACAGTATCTTTCGAGAGCTGGGTGTTTATCTGAAGCAAAAAATCCCAACTTACGTTCTCCTGTCTCTCATCTTCGTATTCTACTCGATACAATGTCTCGCCATCTGGACCGTTTAACTCCTCGAGCACCGAATATACTGTGTCGTCTTGATATGGAACGTATTCGTCGGGGTTCCTAGGTCCCGGAACCATGACGACGATTGTGTTATCTGCGTCTTCATCTGTGTCTTCCACTTCTTCCTCCGCTTCATCTTGGCCATCCATTGCAATCTCATCTCCGTCCTCATCTACGTTGTCATTTGTTTCAATCGAATCTTGGACAGACTCTCCACTTCGATGCGCCAATGCAGAAACGGGATTTCGATTTGGTTTTGTAGTGGGCTTACGAGGATTTCGAGGATTTAATGACTCGACCGAATTGATTTCCGAATCGTCACTATCAGCAACACGGCTGAGTCGAGCCATATTGCTCGTAGACTTGCAGAATTCGTTTGCCTGTTTAAGACGAACTGGCGCACTTGTGGGGTTTTTTATGAAGAAGTTCCTGGTCAAATTGAGTTAGAATATACAGGATAGAGTAAAAGAAGATAAGTACCTAATATTAAAAGTAGTAAACAAAATTTTGGTGATCAAATATTGCTTGCAATTTAACTTTCAAAAAGGTCTTTGTAAATTTGGTAGTTTTAAACTGTTAACCGGTCGTTTGACGCGGTATAGTCTTGTAGTAAAGTTTGTTGTAGCGTACGGAAAGAAAAAGGAAATACGGCTAATTCAAAAGAAAAGAAATGTGCGCGAAAGAGAAAGGAAATCTAAAGAGATGCCTACATTCACTGATGTTGACCAATCTTGAGTTCACAAATTGAAGATAAACTTAAGTGAATCTGATAAAACGCAACGCGTCGATGAACACCAGGATTAAAACCCCGAGACCCGTACTTTTGGTCGGCTTCGGTATGTTCCGCTATCAAAATTTCTTAGCTCAATTTTCTTCTAATACCAAAAATGATGTGGAAATATCATCATGGCACTATCAATGCAATGAGTACAATAATTTTAACGGGAGCAAAAGCTTCTCAAAGAGTAAGTTATATTCTTCAACCATTATATTCATCTTCTTGCTTTGTAAGATATGCTTCGATCAATTCTGGCATAAACCGCGGGCTTCGAAAGTCCAAAGGAATTGGGTTTAGAGGGAAGGATAAAGGACGTCCCAGTCGAGACGATGATGGTGGTGGCCGAGGGTTTCAGATTCCTGGTTCAAATTCATATTCAAAGCCCCGGCAGGATAGGGGCTCCGGTGATGATTTCGGAAGCAAGAGTAAATCTATGCGTACACGATTCAAGGGCAGTGATCGGGACGATGCGTTGAAGTCAGAGTATAAGACACCTTCTCCCTTCGGAAATCGTCAGGGTAGGGAATACTACAAGGAGGGAAAACCTGAAAGGTCACAGAAATTTCAAGCCAAAACTTCTTATGGAGGAGAATCTTCTGACAGGTACAACGAATCACGGGCTAGCAAATCTGGTTACGAGAAGAAATCTTATGGTTCTTTCGACGCCCGGGACGAAAGCTCTGGTTCTGAAAAGAGATCTTTCAACAGATCTCAAGAACTTCCAGAAAGACGCCGTTTCGACGAGAAAAATTATGAGCGCAAATCTCGTGACAATAATTCTCAGGATGAGCCAAAATCTTACTCAAACCTTGAGAGAGCGAACAAATCCTTCGGAGCAGGGCGTGATAGCTCAACAAAATGGAGCAAGGGCCATACATACCCTTCAAAATATCCTTCCCGCGAAGAACGACTAGCCACGAAAGCCACCAGATCTGAAAGCCCTGCAGAATTTCCCTCCTCTGAACCTTCCTCGGAATCCCATTCTAGTTTTTCGCCGCCCAAAATAAGTTCCACTTTTGCCCAAAAGATGCCTATCACCATCCCATACACGACACCAGCTTCTGAATTCCTTTATGGAACATCTGTCGTTGAAGCCGCCTTGAACGCGCGACGCAAAAGAAGCAGAAAGCTCTACAAACTTTACATTCTCAAGGGTGAAGATCGCCAAAATGCAGAGCGGGACGGTGCTATAGCCAAGTTAGCTCAAAAGAAAGGGGTCGAAGTTGCTATAGTAAGAGGGCACGACTGGCTACGAACCCTAGACAAGATGAGTCAAGGCCGTCCACACAATGGATACATACTTGAAGTCTCCCCTCTCCCTCGGCTCCCACTCATAAGTCTCGGCTCAATAATCGACCAGGATGATAGCTTCGCCATTAAACTTACCCCTGACCACCAATCCCGCGAAGAAATTGAAGTCAACGGCAATGACACCATAATCAAAGTCGCCAAAGATTCCACTGGTCGTAAACCCCTCATTCTTCTCCTAGACAGCATAGAAGATCCCCAAAACCTCGGCGCCATCCTGCGCACAGCACTATTCATGGGCGTAACAGCTGTCGCGATTTCCACCCGCAACAGCGCTTCCTTCACCCCCGTCGTCTTTAAAGCCTCCGCCGGCGCCGCCGAAAACATCGAGATCTTCTCCGTAAACAAACCCGGAGGATTCGTTAAAGATTCCCAAGCCGCTGGCTGGAAAGTGTACGCAGCAGTCGCACCGCCTGCTCCTCGAAAAGCAGACTCGCGGCACATGTGGCCTCCCACCTCTCAAGAATTCGTCTGGACCCACGACCTTCAAGATCCCCTACGAGATGATCCTTGTATCTTGATGGTTGGAGGCGAAGGCGAGGGTCTGCGCAAAGCTTTGAGAGATCATGCTGATGTGCATCTTTCAATCAAGGGTGCAGGTAACCGTGGCAGACTCGATAGTTTGAATGTTAGTGTAGCAACCGGCATGTTATGCGATGCGTTCATGAGACAAACAACTCGAAAGACTGTTGAGGAAGCAGTTCAGGAAGTTGAAAAGGAATCGGAAGAGTTGGATGAAAACCAGATCTTCTGAAATGTATAACTAAATGAGTTGTTTGACATAAACTCGCAACTTCTGTAAAAAAACCAGTACTCAGAGCTAAAGCGAGTAATATAAAAGTTTAGATACCCCCCAAAAATGAAGCGTTTGTGGATGTCTCTTCTAGTGCCGACTGTGCCATTGATTCATAAGATGATCATATTATCATAATTCACATTGCAAATCATGGCATAATAAAATAAACATTTCAGTAATGGGTATCATGAATTTAGTCTATCTTTTCTCATACAGGTAGCATAGCTGTACATCCATAAATATAAGCAACAAGTCCAAGCTCCAGACCTGCAAACAAAATTGCCTACGCCGCCGAATGCATGGTAGGTCATATGCAGATTAAACCACGCTAAAGTTGAAGATGTGGGAGAAGAAGATTTTGCGTGGAGTTTTGGACCGAGGAAGCGGATGTTCGGCTTGACTCGATTATTATTTGGATTCGGACGATGGATGGCCGATGGACGGGGAGTTGGGAGTGCCAAAAGCGCGGATAGAGTCAGGAGTGTGTTATGTAAATTTCGTATGAATGATATCGGGATTCTCATGCCAGTCATCAATGCTTACCCACATCTGTAATATGGGTTAGTAATCTTACGCCAGAAGACTTGAGAGATCTCGAAACATACCTTTCTGAATGTGCTCAGACCAGCCAAGATACTACCACCAATCCAGGTTGAGTATTTTCTCTCTGGTGGAGCGAAGATCTTAATTCTCATATCCTTAACTGCTAATCGTTGTACTTCGTGAAGTAACCTGTCTCCAAAACCCTTAGTCAAGGTGCTACCACCGGACAAAACAATGTTTCCAAATAGAGACTTTCTGAGGTCCAAGTCTGTGCGATTGATTGCATCCACCACAATTTGATGGATACCTGGGTATTCCAAACCAATAATCTCGGGATCAAACAGAATCTCAGGTGCTCTAAATCTTTCTGCTCCAATCTGTGAAATAGTCAGCGCCACAACTATGCATCGATGGTAGATTCCTTACTTTAATCTTGTTACCATCAGGTAATGCATATTCAACAACTTTCCCATCTCCCAGCTTTGCACCAGACCATTCCTTTTCTTCACGCTTTGGATCTCCTGCAACATAGCTTACTTTTTCCTTGATCATTCTCACAACCTCCTTCTCTGCGCTAGTATGAAAAACGTAACCAGCTTTCCGTAATAAAGTTTGCATATATTCTGTAACATCTCGTCCAGCCACATCTATCCTTCGTATTGAGCTTGGCATGGCGAAACCTTCGTATACTGGGACTGCATGTGAGACTCCATCTCCGGCATCGAGCACTATTCCAGTCGTTCGCCCCGATGCGTACAGTGAAAGGACAGCTTGAATTGAAGTGTATAGAGCAGGGACGTTGAAGGTTTCAAAAAGTATTTGGGCAGCCGTATCTCGATTACTTCGGGGGTTGAGAGGTGGTTCTGTTAATAAAACGGGATGCTGCATGAGTAGTGTTAGTGATCTACCTACTACTGCTTAACTTGCCAGATATGAAGCAATAGCAAACAACTCCACTTTAGACCTGAACCAAAAAACTTACCTCTTCGCTCAAGGTCTTGAGACCTTCTCCATAAACATATTCCCATATCCTTTCCATATCATCCCAATCTGTGACTATGCCATGTTCCAGTGGATATTTAATCTTCAGCAGTCCTCTTAATTCTTGCGCTCGTGATCCAATAAACACATCTCCTTCCAAAGCACCCGCCAGGACTCGCAAATGTTTTGGCCTCCCAACGAATGAGGGAAAGTAGCATTTTGGCAGATCGTCACCAGCAAACCCAGCTCGAATCGTACCGGAACCATTATCTAAAACGATAGGAGCATTGTGCAGTGTGTCCGCCATATTGATTGTGGGGAGTAGTGGGATGGAGGGAGAGCCAGCAGGCAACCTGGAATTTGGTTGTGCGATGCTAGACTTTTGATTGAAGTATTAATTTTCAATCCTTGAAATGGCGGAAAGTAGGTAAGGTGAGATGGTGGTTGTGGTATTAGTGGGATTTACCAATTTGCTACTTTAATGCTGCTGTACGTCGCGTTTGGACGCGAGCGCCAAGATATTTGACAGGGGTAGCTGTGGGTTTAGACTTCACTCCATGCTATCTCATTCTCCTCCACAACCCTCCACAAAACAATTACTACAGTCATCAATCTATATTCCACTTGTCTACGAGGGTACCCTATTGTATATTCAAATTCAAATACTAAGCATTTTAATGATATGAGATCTCTAATGCAAATTGTGTGAGATCTTACTTCACATCCAGCTGTGAACTATAAGAACTATAAGCTCTTAAAGGAAGATCATTGAATAGCAATCCATGAAGCCGAACCAGTTCATTCTTGGTATCAGCTTATGTTTCTTCGATCAGAGGCGAGGGGTAGGGGATTCAACGAGGATCTACTTGCTTACCCGCGATTCAAATGCCAAAGACCGTGGCGAGGTTCTGATTTTCACTAGAGCAATATACAGCCTTGCACAAGATAGTGAGACAAGACTTTTGCTGATCTTAGCTCAGAACGAGTTCGAAATGGTCATGCTCAAACCTAATATAAATTTGGGACAAAGATCGCCTCTCTAGATGTATAGTTCACTCCTCTATGATATGCATGAGTTTTGGCATCTGTCCATTGATGACTGATTGTTGTTAAATACACAGTGGTCACTTTGCATTGACAAGATGTACCTTGAGTAGATATACTTGTAAGTTGTTGAAAACAGGTGGAACAAATTAATTATTATGGCTTTTGATACAGTATTCTGGCCTGCGCTTTGCTAATATCGCTGAAATACTTCAATCACAGCTATCTATTTTTGCTCTAATCGGATATCTTTGGCCTTATTCCATGTCATTATATCGCCAGTTTAAAATCCGGGACAGTAAGTACCACACTCCTGTATCCTTGTCTGATAAAGTTCTGTAAACAGCACACTTCAACTAACTTGAGCCGTGAAAAGAGAAGATGCTATTTCATGACCTTCTTCAAGATAATTGGCGGAGTAATTCAAAAGACAACGGGAAGTAGGTAGTGATTCCGTATGGTCTAAGGTAATCAACAGACTCCTTCAAACGCCCGTAGTAATCCTTGTCCAAAGTCAAATTGGCATCTCTTACTCTTTGAAGTAGTTCCTTCAAGCAATTATCTCCAAGAGTATCGAAGTCCCGCTTGCAACGGAATGAGCTTTTACTATCCCAGCCATAGAGTGGGCCCAACCCTTCAATCTTTGTATATGAACATTCCCCCAAGAACAGCGCGATTTCTATGGCAGGAAGTAGCCCTCCCAACTTCATGCTGAGTTTGTTGATATCATCGATAAATCCAAGCATCTTTCTGCCAAGGAGATCCACGGTTGGGCGAGATCCATCTTTGACGAAAATTTCGAGTCTGCGCTCAACAGCAGCGTGCGCGTTTTTGATTTTTGCGTGGAGGTCATCGTAGTCCTTTCGTGCATGAGAATTTCCTACTTCTGGCATCCAAGATGAGAATAGTTTATAAGATTGTGGGAAATATCCGATATGGCCAGTAGTTTCGATCTCTTCGATAAGCATTTCCATGGCATCAACAGGCCTGAAAGTTGGATCTTCCTCTTTGATAGCATTTGAAATTTGGACAAGTAGATTGTCGGCAGCCTGGTCGAAACTTTCAGTCACTTTACGGCCAAGAGGGTCCTTTTTGCATTCGACATACGAGTGCCGACCAGCAAACAGAAGCAGGTCAAAAGCCAATCCTTTGCCTCCAGCCATGGATAAAAGTCGTTTGACCTGTGGAAGGCTCTTTTCCACGCTGGGAACCAAGTGACCAGGGACATTTGAGTTGCGCGCAGAGCTACTATGGTTTCTGGCCACAGCAGATTGCAATTTTTCTACTATATGGTTGTAGTCGGTCAATATCAGTTCCTTCGTGCTATCATAAATAGCTTGAGCAGCAGATGGTCCTTCTACCCAGCTTACTAGTAGATCTCCAGTTCGCAACAAGTGTGGTATGAGGCCGTCATCATCTACCTCGAAATGCTTCCGTTGATCGTTTATACGAGAAAGGTGTACTTTCGGTTCGAAATTGGGATACTCCTTTTTCATTCTCAGGCAGAGTTTATGTACTAGGGAGTCGCAAGCGCCGCAGGAGACTCGGCTTGTACGTGGAATCTTGCCATTGTCTGGTGCCAAGTAGGAGTGCTCACAGAGATAGAGTGCAAGCTCGAACGCGAGCGACAGTCCACGAGACATACGTGAAAGTCTACCGATGTCCGCAAGGTATTTCCGGGTACCTTTGAAATTCGTTCTGCTATCGGGTTTGAGCCTATATCGCTCCAAAAAATCATTGTGCTCCTGGTCGATCCAATCACGTATGGATGACGCATAGAAATTTCTGGACGCAGAATCTATGTTGATAAGTTTCTGAATATTCACAGGGGCACCTGTATCAAATTCTAGTCAGCCATGATCAGGGATGAAAAATGCCAGTCATGCACTTACGGCCAAGTGCACGCTCACTGATAATAAACCTGTAGAGTTCAGAAATATGCGATTGCATATCGAACTCCTCTACTTCAGCTGTTGATCGTTCAGACTTGACTGAAGGCGTCACGGTAGCTTCGGCATGATTATCATCGACGCGCTCTTCGACATCATCGGAATTCTCAAGCTTGATTGCTTTATTTTGAGTTGATGTGTCTTCACTGACTTCGGAATTCTTCCTCTTGCGTAATAAGTTAGCTGGTGCGTTGTTCATTTTGTCATTGATTTGAGATTGTTGATGAAAATAAATGTGGAGGTGGAAGTGCGAGGGTCGAGGGTTGAGCAGACCGCACATAAAATATACATCCAAATTTCGAGGTCACATGGCAAGACAAATCAGTTCGAACACCGAACTAAGAAAAATTCACTCTACTCAAGAAATTTACCATCACCAAAAGTTCATCAAGGGTAAATTTATGATTGCTCCTTGGAGGTTTCGGATTGTTTTGCAAACCCATCCAAAGTCTTCATGAATGCACACTTATCTCTTTGATGCGGAGAACCATTTGATGAGCATTGCAGTACTTGAACTTCAGGTTTTGGAAATATGCTATTCTGTAACTCCTGAAAGTTTGGCGCAGGCTATTGGACTATCATTGCTGCATATCATTCTTTCAGTATTGGTGCATGTTAGCCTTTGAACTCTACCCACCTTGTATCAAATCAAGAAGCCTGAATAGTATCATGGTATGACTAGAGCTTACTAATTTAGTCCTGCTTCCTTCAATTGAGCTCTTTAGCTACGGAATCACTCGGGTTTAGTCTTATTTCGTAGTTGGGATCATGTTGCAGTAGCAGTAGCTGTAGCTGTAGGTAAGGTAGATATTGTCAATGATTCATCTCAATACGGTAAGATGGCCCAATTCAAACTCATATCCACACTATGTATCATCTCAGAAGACATCTGGTCAAGTATGTGAGAAATAACGACCGTAGCTATGAGTCTTTACTTTTAGGTACCAATAATAAACCCTTACGACTGAATATTGCAGTGGGCAATTACACTTCAAGCTTTCTTTCTATTCAGCTGTATTTGAAGGGAGGTTAGTAGCTTCTAGGTAACGATTGGATATTGAGGCTTTGATGTTCCAATCTATGTCACATATCTAAATGTACTGTTGTATTAACCAATGGCGAAAGTCGCAATTTGTTCGTGACATAAGCCATGAGTTCCCATAGTGTGAGCTAAACAGCACAAATACAAAGGTAAGTTCTTAATCTGCATGGCAGAACAATTAGAGCCTAATGCAATATTATCTATTTCTGAATAACAAAGTAGTTGCCATACTTCTAGAGATCGTAGAAAATATAGGACACAGTGTAAAAAGGCCGAAAAGAAAACTTGAGATGAGAAACAAGAATAGTCCTATCATCTGAGTGGGCAACAGAAATTTGTGAATCTGGCCAAACACCTTGCTTCTGACAATCAACGCAGCAAACAACGTACACCTTACAAAATCCATACTCGTCGTATCTCATTTGAGGAAAAGCACTGAATCTTTCACCTCTCCCAACTTACTCACATAGGAATTGAATCTTGGGGAATACCGCTGATCTGTCTTGAGCAGATTTTCAACACGCGTCCCCTGCGAAATGTCAATTATAGTCGTACGAAACATCTACTCGAGTGTGTCATCGTGTCCCAGAGATTTGGAGCTTGCTTGAGGGGATACTGTTGCAGTGATAGTGATACTGACATTGCAAACACTTCATTGCACGCTTTGCAGCGAAGATATAAAATCTATTGATTGAAATATATGAGAGTTCTCTCTTTTCATACTGATAATAAGACCCTTGCCAAATAACAACCCGTGAAAAATAGTATACATACAAGAAAACTCCCATTTTAGGCACCCTTTCCCACATAACCTTCCACAGTTTCCTTTTTTGAAGCTCAAGTTCCCCAAACTAACACCCAATGAAACGGTCCCAATCACCACCAATATTGAAACAAAGCAGCAACATCTTCTTCCGAGATAAATCACAGCCATGGCTTACACCACCAAATCCAAGTTCCCAACACCCCCGCCGTAAGCGGTCCCGCAACCGCCCAATACAACCAAAACCACTCACTCAAAACTCCACCCATACGTTCCGCCTGCCAATCAAACATCGACCCGCTAAACAAGACCGCAATATACGCACCCGGTAAAAACGCCATCAATAGAAACGCAATCGTCTTAATTGCATTTGCGTCTCCTTTCCGAGCCTCCATCATCGAAGTAGTAATTTTCGATTCCCGTTGCATAAGCAGGTTTTGTACGCTACCTATTTGAATCTTCACGATTCGTCTCTGTCCAGTGACGCGGGAGGATAATTCCACGTTCCAACCGAGAAGGAATTCGCATTTTTCTCGGAGGGCGATGTTGGCTTGTTCCATCCATGTCATTCGTCGATTCATCGGTAGAAGAGTTGTGAAATAGGGGCCACGAAGGAGGGTTTGCAGGAGGTGAATATTGGATCTTACTTTTACTTCGTAGAGGGCTAGACGGGTGGATTCTCCGTTTAGCGAGCGAGAGATGAAGGGGAAGTCTGGGAGGGGCGTTTTATCGGGTGTGCTATATGAAGGAGATGAGGCGGAATGGTAATCGTGGTCGTGGATACCGATTGCGGATTCGAGGTTTCGGAGGCGGGATGTGGTTCGATCTAATTGCGTTCGGTGAGTGTCGAGCATTAGCTCGGCGAGGATTAGAGGAAGGAAGAGTGGATGAGTTAGGTATGTGGATTGTAATAAAATGTAGTGGATGAATGACTCATGGGTTGGATCTTTGGAGTTCTCCAAGAGAATGGCAGTGGTTACTTTAGTATTCTGGTTGTAAGAAAGACCAAGGGTGATGGATTCAAGGCGCCAACGATGGAAGTGAATTGCTAATGCTGATGATGGGTAAGTCTATGATAGTGTCAAGTAGTGAGTTCAGGGATGTCAATGTAGACGTACCCATGCCCAAATGGTTTCCATGAGTATCAAATAGAGTATTGTGAGAGAATCGTGGAGGCTCAATTTGGTCCGGCGCTAACATCTGAGAAAACGCCGCTGGCAGTTGAAGGCGACTCATAATCGCTCGAAGTGTCTCATCACTGAAAGTCATCCCAACAGCTTTCTTATCGGAATTCAAAGCTCTATTCGTAAACCTATTGCTCTTTGATTAGTTCGGGTGTCAAAACCATGAAGTCACGAGCTATGTGATTGAGGAAATCACAAACAGCAGTCTTAGAGCACCCGTTTTTGATGTCTCATTATTTGTATGAACAAAAGCATCTATAAAAACGTCAGAATATGAGTTGATCACATCAATAGACCCACGTTACCTTTTTGTTCAAGCCAGCTGGAAATTTGATCTTCTGGTATCTTTCCGCGGATCACTTCGGTGGGACCATTCTACGGAATCTGTAAGTAAATTTTCATAACCAAGGGGTTTCACACACATTTTTCGGCCATATCTCCACAAAAGTAGTCCTCCTCAAACCTCTTGCGGATGGACTTGGAACTGACGAAGTCGGCGTACTTTCTCCATATTCTGCTATCGCGGGAAATGCGCTAATGCGTCTGTGCTGCTTCCGCGGTGGCATTTCTTAACTGTTTCCTTTCATACTGAAGATTTTCTGAAGGAAAGGGTTCATTCCAAAAATTAATCGCGGATAACAACTTAGGTGGTTGATCGTCTCGTTTAGAGGAGTGGCCCCCATGAAGACTTAGCCGCGTGTAACCACATCGTACTGATTTCACACGTAACTCGATTTAGCAGCAATCCCCCTGAATTCCTCGTCGCGTAAGCTCAAGATAAGCCACTGCATGATAAAATGACATGCAGAATCAGCCTAGTGGGATTCATATGTAAAATCTGATTCGTGGACTGCCACGGCAGATGTTTCAACGATGAAATTAATTGTGCAAATCCCTAACTTCGCCCTGGGTGCCGACTACGCCGTTGGGGTGCAGAAATAACGCGAGGCTGACAAGTATAATTTCGACATTGATGAATATTGGGATTTGCGATTCTCTCATTACATAAAGACTACTTTATTTTGAACGTGTTTGACGTTGTGAACTCGGTGTACAGCCTTCTACAGCCACCATCATGACATTAGCAAATGATATTACGTCAAATCATATGGAAATCTGATGCGGGTTGCAGCTAGTTCTCACTTGGTATCAACCCTTTTTCTGGAAGTGTCTATTCAAATTTAGGTTTCAGGATACGTGGTATAATGATAACGAGCTTATTTCATCTTTTCCTGGCACGTTGATGAAGACGTGCTATGAAAGATGAATAATAATTCAATCGGAGCATATGGAAATGAAGAGAACAATAGCGACTTGATTGACTGCATATATCATGCTTCCTGTGTTATCTTGGAACTGATCATTTTTTGCATTTGAATTGCGTCCTAAAACCAAACGAACAAAAGAAAGCAATCATGGATGAACAAGGATGACTTTCACGTAGCCTTGCTTCACGAGACGTAATTGGAAGATTGCACAAAACATGATTTTCACAGCTTTGCTTTGCTGTGGCAATAGAGAATTCGAAGAAATTGAGAGAAGATCGCGGATCCATAAGGAAGTATTTTGGTCTTTCTATCACTCTTGGATTAGCATGACTGTTTCGTCAGCTTCTTCATGCACCTGCGGCTTTTATCTCAGGTCTGAAGGAAAACGAAACACATTCCCATGCAGACAAACAGAAACCGACAGGCCACAGGACTGTTTCATGGAAAGCTACATGACAAGGCTGCACATGACGCTACATTTGTTTCGCCATTATGACTTATCATTTTGATATAAATTCATCCTAATGGTACCAGGCACATCTTTTTAGAATCGACTGTAAGTCATCATTTTGAAGCGCTCTCACGATTCGTTTTCAACATCAGTATCTTTGCGCAAAATACGAATATCCTTGCATTTGAGTAGTTTCTCGCCAGACTTTCTCATCATGTCGGATAGAAGTCCTAGAGAGATCTCTTACTTTTGGAAGGATGCCCTTCAAAGGACTATTTTCTGTGGTATAAATCCTGTCGGTTACCCATCTTTCAAAGATGGCCATTTCAACGACAAAATCTTGGAGGGAAGCGATCCACTCAAGTCTCTAGAAGAACTTAGAAATTCGGAGGAGCTCAGTGATGAAGAGAAAGCAGTCGTTGAAGGCTGCATCAAAGTATCAAAACCTTTATTCGATAACCCTACGTACAATATCCACAATCCTTTTGAACTAGAGTACGTGGACCTCTGGAACGAGGTCAAAAAGCTCAATGAAATGTTCGGGGGTGGCGGTTTTGATGAAAGCAGATGCATTGATTGTCCGAAAAGAGAGCTAGAAATTGAGTACATCTTCGACGAAAATGGGGTATTGAAGAGGATGGTGACGGGTGTAGTCCCAGTGGAAGATCTGAGTCCCAGGATTTGGGATCCAAAATTTCACCGTTCCTTCAAGGCGGCAAGGGATAAGCAGTCGCTGCCAATTCTTAATGAATACACTTTGAGTGACGGAAAATATGTTGATGAACCTATTGGTAAGTCTAGTCCCCGTCGATGAACGTCGATGAAGAATATTGCCTGATGAATATTATAGATGAGAATAGCTCTGGAAGCACGGAGAATGAAATTGATAAAATACTTGCAAATGATTTAAGCAGGTTGGCAGAACAGGATGAGAATAGCTTTGGAAGCACGGAGTATAAAATCGATAAAATACTTGCAAATGATTTGAAAAGATTTGCAAAGCGGGATGAGATGAACGTTCGAGATGGGGCATAGGCTGAGAATACTGCCGATAGTGATGAGGTGGCTGCAGAACAATCGGACAAGTTTGCTCCCCCTACCTTGATCGGTACGGATGAGAAGACTCAGTAGTGAATTTCAATGCTCATTGTATGTACGGCGGTGGTTGTTTAGTCTCGCCGTGGCCGAAAAGAATCAAAGAAGTTGATGAAGATTTGGCCTGACAGTGACAAACTTGATGATTGCTACGCTCATAACTTAAAGATCGTTAGTCGTCTCGTTTGATTTGATAACTTTGGGAGCTCGTGCGTGTGAGTTCGCTATATTACCATGCGTCCTTCAAGCCTGCGTTTATCCTGAAGTACACCAATCTGAAGCTGAACTTCATCACCATTCATATCAATGCCCTAGAAGGGCGTTTGTACTGCTTTAAGAGGATTAAAGTCTGTCAATTGGTCAATAAGTTGATGACTTTTCTCAGTCGCCATCATTTTTGACATGCTGTAGATGCCACCTTTGCTTTGCCTCAAGCCTGCTTCCCAACATTGGAACCTCAGGTATAGATAGTCTGCTGGTCGAGACCAATCAGTGACTCTAAATCGATTATTGCGGGCATTTTCCTACCAAGAATCGAGACTTCATTGTGTTCTTTAAGTGTACCCTAAACAAACTGTACTCTTCCGTCGGATAGAATCTTCAAGATCGAGAGGAGGAATATAACTGTTGTATTGTAGAAACCGCCCATAATGCCGACATAAGACAATTCTTTGAATTGCTCAAAGCTCGTGTGAATGTCTCAAGGAAGTGACTTTCCGTTCCTAACTAACGTTTGGATCATCGGCAAATCTTTCATTCCGGGTATACCTAAGTTCGAGACTATAACTTGTCAGCGCCGATCAGTGATGAAATCCAAGATGCCAGATTTGCACTACTGCGTGGAACTTATCAGATACTAGCTTCAACCACCCCGCCCTTAAATATGATTGATGTCACCTTGAATATCGTTTCAATCTTTTTTCAATATCAATCTCTCCCAAGACTACCTTACCTCTTTACTTTACCATTAACATTGTCAGTCAATTTGGAAAAATCTACCAGCTTCATCTATCACCATTTATCATCATCATCATCATCATCATCATCATCATCAGATATCCTCGGTATCTATCTAGATTTTATAATTGTATCTCAAACTCATATATCAACCTCTTCTATCGACTCTATCTCTTGAACACATCCAAACTTGTCATACAATGGCCGATCATCTTCCTCAAATTCAACTCCAGCCCGAGCAGAAAGAAGTCATGCAAAATTTCTCAAGACTTCCCCTTGAAGTACGGCGTACTATCTGGGAATACGCCGCTGGAGAAGCAATAAAAGTCTTTTATGTCAATGACGCTCAGGATAAAAGCATCTTTTTAAGCGATAGCGAGGTGGGTGGAATTGTAAGGAAGGAAAATACTCACAACTGGCCCAATACATTCGAGCTCCCACACCTTCGACGTCTGACTACCCTCAAGAAGAAGGATCTCGTGTTTCCCCTCCTCCATGTCGACAGAGAGGCCAGGGAAGCGGCATGGAAAGCGTATATCAGTGTGATAAACGATCTAGGGTTTCTAGGGCACTTCTTTAAAGTACTTTACACGAGAAGATATCGTTTAAGTAAATCGGCTCGGCGCGACCGGACGGATAATCCATACACAATGTTCGAGGATCCAGCCCAGGCGGTGAAAAATCTAAAATCTCGCATGCTGAAAACCCCTGGAATGGGGTACGACTGGACGAACAATGGAGCCGTGCAGCTATTGACTGATATTCACGAGACTCTACAATCCCGCTTGATGGAACCTCCCGGATCTTCATCTTGGAGTCTACAACTCGTGCCGGGGGCTGAAGCGTCCGACCAGATAGACGAGGAACGAGGCCCTTTCATTTCCGATGTGTTGCTTCCACAGCCTAGTCCCGAGCCTAAGTTATGGGAGCTTAGAAAAGGTGCTTTTGAGCCTACCTTCTTCCAAGGCATGACGGCGTATCTGGACAATTTCGACATGAAGTATATTTTAAGGAAATCTCTTGTAATGATCACAACTCTCCTCGACATTTCAGATTAAAAATAACACCACCGCTCAAATTGCGCGAAACGATATCTTATCACATATCTTCACATAAAGAATGCTGCAAGGAGTGTGAGTGAGAATAGGAATGTTGCTAGGAGTAGCGGAAGCGAATCAGATCAAAACAGAGGCACTGGAAGTAGGGGATCTTAGTATTTATGCAGGGAGTGAAGTGATTTGTGCTCGAACATTTATGTGTCTTATCTGGAGAAGATAGTCTATTTTGCGTTAGGGTTGGAATATGGGATTATTTTCACGAGTAAGAGGACAGGGCAAAGGTGAGGAAGCTTAAGATACTGACTTGAAGCTCCTTAAATATTGGAAAATAATAATCATATTAATAGTCCCGAGTTAACCTCATAATATTCATGCTAGTCCGACAACCTGATCCAACAGTGGTTGAATCTGATTAAATTCGCTTATTCAACGTGCCCTTCGTAATTTCACACCGAATGTCGCCTCGAGTGTCTCCCATTAAAACGCCGCAGTATGCTATGCCATGCCATTCCCTTAAAGCCCATTTGATAAGATATATGCAGTAGCTCTTCTGTACCAAAATTCTAAGCTCCCGTCCCACCCTCAGGCGTACCTTTGGTTTTGTCTCCGCGTTTCCAGAACTTCTGTAGCCCCTTTTTAATTGAACCTGGGGTCTGTGGACTTTTTTCTGCAACAGGACTAATTGCCTTTGCTTCGGGTCCATTTAGCCCTAACATGTTCAACATGCTCAATCTCCTTTGCTTTTTTTTCGCCGCTAAACCAGGTTCGGGGACAGATGAGGAAGGGGGCCATTCACCATCCCGTTTCCATCCTTGTACGCAGCTCTGTATGACATCGGATAGATTGATAGGACAACTAGGTGTCAGTGATTGCAGAATAACTTTGTCGTATATGGTGCTGTAAGCTTGAGGGGTGATGCTTGCTCTCATTGCATTATCCGGTGGTAGTAGAGATTTAGCAATTGGCACTTCAGTATCCCATCCTTCTGAATCTGAGCAATCGTCCACAGGTTTGCGGGCATTTCCATTTGAATGGACTGGTAAATTTTCGATGGCGTGAAGCTCCCGTCCGGATGGAGGAGGGACACGTCGAGCGCAAGTCCATGCATCACGTCTTTCTACATAACAGTGTACTCCTGTGTTCCATTCCATTTCCGCGGCAAGCTTCTTTTTGTGTCGGCGTCTTCGTGCAGCTCGTCTTTGTTTGACCAATTGACCTACACCATCCGGGTTGTCAAAACGGAAAGGACTTTCTCTATCCGGAGAATTAATGTTGACGGGCCCTTTAGGCGAACTGGGATCTTCGCTCTCGCTCTCGGTGGGATCACTTTCCCACTCGTCTCTTTCTCGCCACTCTTCCTGATACGCAGGGCTATCCGCACTGGTAACTTGGAGCTCATCTAAAGAAGGCTCCTTAAGTAATGCATCCATTATATTCATAGGTTCGTTTTCTTCGGCTGGCCAGGTCCAAGTCCAGTCCTGCTTCACATTCTTCTCCAAGTATTGTCGAACAGCTTCTTTCTGAGTCGCCCTGTCCTTACTTGTCAGCTCAGCCTCATAGACTGTCAAGGCATTTGGATGTGCCTTGACGCGAGCCATTCGCCGACGAGCTGCTTTAATTTTGACGACATTCATATCTTCATTCGAGGTATTCGCGAGATCCGCAGTAGGATTGGCGCTTGAAGTCTGTGGATCTATAATAATAGAGTTTATTGATGATTGACAATGCTGTTCAGTGTTAGGAGATATTGTGGTTGTGGCATCGGTCGCAGATGTAGAGGGCTGGGTTTCGGTCGGGGGGTTTATATTTTCGAGTGGTCGTACGGTAGGTATTGGTGGTACGACTATTTGGGAAGCAGGCATGATTAGAATGTACTTTCCACAAAGTATTCACATGATGCAAAGATTAAACATTAGCAGTTGTCCTACCTGAAGTGGTATTTTCCGCAATCACTGCCCCTCCTGTTGTTGCCGCATCGTTTATCAAATTTGACTCGTTATCAACGGCAGATTCTTCGACTAGACCAAGGCATGATTGCGAATGAATGTCTGGAGCATTAAGCTCTTGTGGATCTGGCGCAGATACGGATACGTTATCCAACATTTGAGTTGTAGATGATTCCAAATCCATCTTAGCTGTAGTGGCTTCTTGTTCTTTAGTATCCGTAGTCGCATTTAGATCAGAAATATTATGGTGAGGGTTGGATCTAAGTTCGTCCGAGATCATTACTGGATGATTTACCACGCCGGCAGATAAATCTTGAGACATATCGCATGATTTAGTAAAACATCTGAAGATATGACAGAAATATCTTATATATACTAGGCTCTTAATTGAGTTATTGGTATCAAAGATATAAATTTTGGAGGGCCAAACGGAATATTTGATAAGATGGAAGAACTTGCTTTTTATGACTAATCAGTACTAAAGGTTAATCCTTGAATTGATTTGCTTGGCTTTCGGTAGGTACCGGTTTTGAAGATCTGAAGAATGTTGCTTATTCTAACGTTTACTGCATTCAACGTTACATTAATGCGCACTATGTCTAGATCATCATCGGTCATATCCTCTTTCTTCTCCAGAATATACCTAGTGCTGTACTTTCTTGAAGGTAATTGGAAGTGTCTAGATCAATGGAATCATGAAGAGGCTCCTCGTATTCTTGTTCCACGGTAGCAGAAACTTAGCCTAAGTCTATATACTTATTAGCATATTCACATATCGATGCACATATTCCCTCGGGGACAAAACATAGGACCAGTTTAATGATGATTTGAATATCATGTTATTAACGACTCTACTCGATGCCTGTGTTTGCTTTTAGCAAATTACTGCTAAATGCGTCACGTGATTGAAGATAGTACTATGGTCCTACACCAACCTTGGAAGCCATGTAGTGCACCGGTGTCAATAGGAGCTGAACGTCAAGTCTCATACTCCTCCTCGGTATATTTTTGGGCTCAGCGCAATATTCCATATCAATGTCTGCGTGATAAGTTCGTACATCGCAGTTGCGTATCGCCAGCTCGGTTTCTGTTTGGCTTTGAGTCTCTGTGTGTCAATGAGATCGTCTGAATTTTGGTGAAATTCCAGTATTGAACCATGCTACAACTAATTTGTAATATCGGAGCAATGGCATCGTATTTAATAGATTCACAGGTTTATTCTCTGATCTTGAAAGACTCATTTTTGACCCTGCATATTCCAGCCTCTGTTGTACAAATGCCGAAGACGATGTATAGTTTACCACCAAGAATTCTAGTCATCTGAAATAAAGTTATTTGATGGTTATGAGCTAAGATTAACTGAGGTCCCCAGGCTCGATTCTTGCTACAGATGGCTTTACAAATCTAAAAATCTATCTTTCCACAACCATTTTTCTTCACTGTTATGTTGCCCCTGGTCTGCTTTTCCCCAAACCATGGTCATGAAACTTCCAGCAAGAAAGATGAATCATGGATTTCTTGACTTTCCTCTTAGATGTTGGCTGAAGCATCTCTGTCATTTCTGCGAAAGCAATTCCGTCTATGTTCCCTTTATAAAGTTCGACTCCAATGACCAACTCATTGACGTGTCGGCGTCACCTATATTTGCCTTGATCGCTCCACAAGCAAACGATATTATGGTTCATTCCCGGAATCAGAATATGTTCAGCTCCTATTGTAGACGTTCTTACAGCTCCGGGCGCTCATTCTCTTATGGTTATTCGCTTCCCCAATGACAATGCTCAGAAATTACGGGTATCTCGACACCCGTAAATCTCAAGTAGTTCTTCTGTATCACTGCTTCCGAAGGCAGATTCGGTCGGAACAAAGACCAGGAGTGTTCTGAGGACAACTAGCACCAATGATTTTCCACAAAACCATGAGGTTTGCTAGTATCTTATCGGAAATCACTGCGGTCGACAACTCGGTACTTGAGCTATAGAGCCCAATCATCATTAGTCTCGCATATCCAAATCGTGGGCCTTTGAAGCTGGCCTTTCCGACGTGGCGTCTGATCTTATGGAAGCTGCGCAAGTATCAAAGTACATTGGCCGCATTTGAATAGGTTAAAATCTGGAGGCTTCGCTGATTTGATGAGTTGTGGCGGTGTCGATCGGATAGTAAGCGATAGCTCTACTTGGCAGAACCAACAGCGTGCATGATCACATGGCATGCTCCCTTCACCCACTCTATCACCCGAATCCCTACACACAGCCATAGATCGGCGAACTAGATCTATATTGATTACCATACCATAATCCAGAATCTTTAAGTCAAAAATATATCAAATTCCCCGACCCAGCCTGTCACTCAACAGTTTTAAGAGAATTCCTTTCTTTGCGCATGTTATCAACGTTCCATTCAGCCATGATACTCACCGGCGTCTAGAACATACAGACGCGCATATTACAGCCTCAAACCATCTACTTTTTTGCTAACACAGGAAACGAAGCTCCAGGGACTCTATAAATACCTATACAGTTTTTAACTCTATTCATAATACTCCCTCTCGTTCTCACGAACAGTTATCAATATAACAACTATCAGTACTCAATACTTAAGCGTCTTACACCATTACAGCCTGATCTATTTCTGCTTCGAATCGTCTGTCTCAAAGCAAAATTATCAGTCTTTAGCACAGCGAATATGCAGAGAACTTCTGACTTTCGAGCGCATCCTTCAAGGAATTCCGCATCACCTGGTCGAGCCCCCAGAACCGGTAGCAGCAAAACCAGAGCTAAACGCCCTGAGCGCAAGCTCTGCAAAAATGACCCGGACCCTCTTTCTTTTGACGACTGGCTTGACGAAGAAGCCCGCTATAGTGCTAAAAAATATTCTGAAAAATTCGCTAGTAGTAGGCGGGAAATAGAGGCAGAATAAGAGGAAAATCGATATGAGAATCGTCCAATGTGGAATTGGTCGCAAGATCGTACCGAAATTGGTGCTATGATGAAGTAAGGTGGCAAGCTGGCAAGTCAAAGGGAGATATAATTGGTATAAGGGAAAAACTTTTGAAGAAATACAATGCAATTTGACAGGATACATATCATTTTGAAGCATGCTATTGCTTCGCGCGCGCGAAAGAGGGGAACAATGTGTTTACTGTCCTTCGTATCAGGTTACACTATGGAAAGAGGCACTGGATATTACCGTAAAATATTGCATTAATGTTTGATACATCGCTCAAGGAAAAGACGTCTTTAATGAGTTTTCAACGCATGTTGTGAAACGAGTGTCCTGATTTGACCGATGAATAGGTACTAGAGACACGAAATCCCATGTATTTAATCCCGAATTGCCTATTTTCTTCATCAATGACAAAAGAAGCGATAGTAGTGTATATTCAAATCCTCTTTCCCATAGTCTTGTACTAGAGATTGCGAAGCATTTTTTCCATCCGATATGGCTATCTAATCTAACGAGACTCGGATATGTAAGATACTTATGCTTGGCACCTCTCTATCTGCTCATAGACTCAGTGTGAAAGCAAATATATGTCCAATTAAGAGGCAATGGATCGTTAGCTTCTAAGCTATATAGACAGGACGAGAGCCGGATTAATTGAAACGCTCGCTAGCACTACACCAAGACTCAAGCTCTGGATGATCTGTGGAAATAACACGATGTCTAAGTCTGTGAGACGCAAACGTCGAATTTGTTGCACATCTCACTTGGGTCACCCTCGGCCAAGCCATGTTTTCCGATGGAATGAATCGGAGGGGATTATGCAGGTAGGAATTATCTTGAATGGACACTGTGCTAGGAGCTGATTGTCATTGGGCATCAACCTGGAGTGCCGGAAGAATTTCTCCACTGGGCCTCAAATGCGACCGCCTTGAACTAGAGGCCACATCAGACTATTGAGAGCCATTGCACCTATTAGAACAGATGAGGAGAAGAAAAACCGCGATTGTTGCATATCTCAGATGGCCTTGACCCTCGCCTTGCACTGACAAGTTATTTCATGAGCAAACACACTTGGAAAGTGTGAGCGCATGGGAGCGAATGTAAATGGAGGTCCAAAGATAGAGGACGGTAAGCATGGTAGCCTCAAGGGTCGCGGGAAAGATCTCTTAATCGACTTACCATCATTCTCTCTTACCTCCCCAGCACAATCTCGCTCCACCGCTCATTGAACCCCAGCTTACTTGCTCTAAGTAATATCCATCGAAAGGAAATGTTGCATATCTTCAAAGGCCGCCGACCTCATTATCGGAAAAGAAATGTAAGACATGACACCTGTAGCTCCACTTGGCAAGGATATCACGCCATAGAAAAAAAAAGGCCGCTTTAAAGGTCGCATCAATATAACCATTGGGTATTATTGAAATACTATGGGTTATGGTCGTGATTGGGGTCATGATGATGTGGCAATATTGAGAGCGTTCATGGAAAAAAGGAGGGTAGCTCAATAAGATCAGAACGATTTGAGGTAGCTCGGTAGTTGGGAAGAACAACGAGTGGTATTTTTCATGCAGCAAGTGTGGCTTGAGTGTAGTGGCTGATAAGTTCAAAAAAGGTTTCACAGGTGAAGAATAGTGGATACCTGTCACTTTCGGGGGCTGCAGAAGAGCGTTTATTCCGTACTGTGTTCCCCGTAGAACGCCGAAGAGCCACGCTGATTCCTCAAGGCGAGACGCAAACAGAAACAAAGACTTGGCATCGAATAATCTCATCCAATAGTACCCAAATTTGTGTTGACCTTATCGGCGACCACTCCTTCGCTCCGGAGAAACGTCCGGAAAAGGTACAAGACCGATCTCGGTGATCAGCCGAAATTTACGATTGACCAAGACATCTTCACGGATCCTTCATCTTGAAGAAGTTAATCGTTGATTGCTTGAAGGTAAGAACGGGATTTGTTGCACGTCTGAAAAGGTCGGCGACCTGGTTATTCCTTGCACAGGATTGATGTCGGCGACAAGGGTAATCTATATGGGACATTTACGGGATTGAGTGAGATGTACCGAGATCAGGTGCTAAGTGGATGTGAGCTAGATGATACCGCCAGACCGTCAAGCCAGACTTTTGTTGCAGATCTGAAAAGGTCGGCGACCTGAAAATTTCTTCGCATCTCCGAATTAATATCACATAGCCTATGATAAAGGTCGCCGGGTATCCACTTGGTAGAATGAAAGTTCAATCTACGACTCCACTCAATCATCACCGTCAACCTCACGAGTCATGATACATCTGGCCATGGAGAAGGGACGACCAGAAGCTGGATGAATAGCAAGTTTTGTTGCGTCTCTTAGTCGGCGATTCGATTATCCTACCAGCTATGCCAGGTCAGCAATAGCCTTTGGTACAATGTTCAAGAGCAGGACCCTCTGGTACAAAGGCGAGCGTAATCGAGACCGAAGAGGTACCGCGTCTCAGAATCAGGGGAAATTACTATCCACCGCTTTTCAACGACATCTGTCTTTGTTGCATCTCTCAATCGGCGACCTGGAAGAAAGGGAAGACATTTCCAATTGAAGAAGCTCCGTTTACGAGCTACGAGGTTTCAATTTCTTACTCTTTGACTTTCAAGAATAGGCCATCGCTCAGCACCCAATCACCGAGAAAAACAGCACAGTGAAATTTTCACGAAAAAAGAAGCAACCCTGAAAGAAGAGGATATAATTCATCGCACATCTCAAATGGCCGGTGACCTCCTCTCATCAATATACTCGTCCGAGGATCCACTTAGAGACTTCATCTTAAAGTGATCAGGTCTCAATTGCGGCTGTTATGGGAACCATGCGCATATTGGAAGCAAAGCAAATCGCCCTCGCCCATCTTTAAATTCTTGAAACTTTGTTGCACATCTTAGTTGGTCCCCGGTTGGGCATGAAATCTTCATTTTAATTTGGGTAGTGGATTATGCGGTTATGGGTGAGGTCTTCATGGAGGCACGATGACAGGTATTTAAGGGTCTCCAGGATAGCACGCAGAAGATCTGCCTAATGCCCTTGGGAAAAGAAAAATCGTTGCACACCTTAGAAGGTCTGCGGCCTTTCCTACTCTCACCGACAGGCTCCTATCTGCCATCAGTTTCCTGTTTGTCGCCGAAGTTTGATACGTAACAGGATATAAGTGAATACAACAGGTCTCTCCCGAGGTCTCATTCCATCTCGACGATTTGCAGATCTCTCGCGCACGGCGACTACCTAGCAGAAGTTTCGAGGTGAGTTTGTGTCATATCTCAAAGCTCATGTCGCAAGCATTTGTTCTCGAGATCTTTGATGAAAACGGAAATCAACGACATGCTCAAGGCGATATTCAGCCTAGAGTACTTTGATATTACGAATTATCAATCTCAGTATTTTCTGCACGTGATAGCTCGGAGGTGAGACTTCTCACTCCATCAAAAAACAAGATTGATGCTCTTCCCATCACACGGATAATGAGCTCAATTGAATATTAATCACAGTGATGACATTCTGCACCAAGCTGTTTATCTCAACTCATGTATTACTTCAATAAGAATCACTGCGCTGTCGATAATGGATACCGAGTTATTTGGAGTAGAAACGCTTGCGATCATCGTTTGATGCACTTGCCCATCTAATGCTGTCAGAATCTTTGTTATACATCCATTAAATTCGAAGCTTCGTGTACACCTCAGATGCATATCGCGAGCTCGTTCTTGACTTTAATAATCACCCCCTTTGCTCTACGGATATTTACTCACACTGAAGTCTTTGGTGATGTCTTCTTCATTTTGAATTCTAAATTTTTGTTTCGTTTTCCATGAATATTCTCTCCTTAATACAACAAGGCTGGTTCTGATCCACTACTTGATTCCAATTACATTAGGTCAACTGGTCTATGTTTTCACAAGAATTTCAATTCTCTTGAAGAGAAGGCTCCATTCTGCGACATACCCGAGTAAATGTCAGAATGTTTTTTTATTTTAGAATTTGGCGTCTTTCGACACATTCCAATCACGTTTATTTGATAGCTCAGCAGTGGGAGCAATTAGCTACGCTGAAGTCAGAGAAAAGGGGGGAAACTAGTGTTCCAGATGATATTCTCGTGAGAAGCGCTCGATAAAATATCATTTTCACTACAAGACTCAGTGGGAATAATAGAGGAGCCTCAACGAGGATTGATTGTTACACCTATAAAACCTTTCACCCTCTGACCCAATATCAATTATTAGTTGATGGCCATTCCGTTTGCGCTTGCCACACTTTTTCCATAATTCGGGCTTTTTTCTTCAAACCTCGCCCTATTGCGGTCGTCTTAGAATTCTTGTCCTCGATCTCTTGTGTTGCATATCTCAAAGGGCCGCCGGCCCTGTTTTAACATGCACCTTTGCCTTGTGCCCCACAATACTCAATATTGTATACCCACTACCACAAACCTCGTCCAAGTAGCCTTGATTCTGGGTGGCATGGTTGATTCTTTCATTGATTGGCCATATATCTGGCCAGATTACAGCATGCAAGTGATTTTATCATAGTGCCGCTGAGACTTCGAAGATCGCTTTCTCGCGCTTTTAGACGTTGATAATTGTGGATGTTTAGGTATACTTAGCACAAATGGTTTGAGCGAGTCGCTGCACATCTGATCGGATCCGATAATTCTGGTAAATTGAAAGCCAGTGAAAGGAAATTGAGGCCGTCCAGGAGACCGAAATGTTTGGGTGCCAGATTAATATTGCTTGGGCCGCAATGGAGGCCGGGCTGGTCTGTCACTATAACTGGACCCGAATTTGTTCGGAATAAGGGAAATGGAGATTGAAAAGGTCGGCGGCCTTTTGAGATGTGCAACATTTGGAGCAGCTGCTTTCTAAGTATCGAGCTACGTGTATATCGAGAGGCAAAAACTGGGGTAAATGAATCTGGCTCATAATTTTCGAATATAAAGAATTCTGTATCTATCCGTGGAGTTCGAATCACGGTATTTGGAAAGTGTTCCATTATCGTTCGGTTTTGTGCCCAATCGGTATGGTCATTCAAGCAGTTTTCCAAATTCCTATGATTGTTCGATACCGGTTTATAAGTGTATTCATATGGTCTAGAAAGCAAAATATACTCTCGAAATGTTTTGTTTTGAAATGTTAATTTTGTGATATTCAATTGATATTCAATGATTAAATCCATCGAATGGAATGTCATCATGTCAACGATCAGGAATTGGCAATCAGATTATAGTAAATTCATCAGATGGTTGATTTATTGATGGCTTATCAACGACTCAAGTGATCAATAGAGAAATGTAATGTTGCAAACTTTCAAAGGCCACCGACCTTCACTAGCCTGTCACATCTTTGCTGCGCTCCACTCACCACGTTAGCACTATACTCCAATGTAAGATTACACATATTTCTTGTGGCCGGACAATGACCACGCTACGACATGCAACAAATCTTCCCATCCCTTGGCTACCCAAGCTAGATCAAATGTCATATGGGATTGTTGCATATCTTAAAAGGTCATCGGCCGCCTCTCATTTCCTTTATTCGTACAATTACTTTGCTCATCAATATAAGCAATGTATCGAAATTACGATTGCCAAGAAGGCCGTCGAAATAACCTTTTTGGTGGCTGTGGCGGCAACTCCCACCCACTCAACTGGGTATTAAATCCTACATCACAAGGATCTAATAATATTTCATTTCTTCAATAACTACCAGGAAAGCCCCGACTTTTAGTGAGGCAACGCTTGTCATCGCGCTTGGTAGGCACAAAAATTGTGACGAGCTCGGATATGAGCGCGATGTAAGCGCCGCGAATGGATCTGCGAAGTCTCGGTTCATCATCAACCCGTAGTTTATATTCATGTGATCACACGGCCCGTTCGGAGACCGTAAGTGGGATTAAAGCTGAAGCCTTAAATGCGACCAGTTCCATTTTTAAAAGCAAATTTTTTACATCCCATGTATCTTTACTTTCGGCGGTGATGGGCGGTGACGTTGATGGATCCTTAGTAGGGAGCCATGGACTAGGAATCGGAAGGTCACCGGCCTTTTCAGTTGTGCAACATCGATTCTATGTGAAAGAATTAATCTTTCTGCATCTGCTAATTCATTTGGAAATATGATTTCTGGAGAAACTCGATTGCCAGTAGAAAACCATGTGCGTCTTTTGAACTTTTCAAACCTCTCGTATCTTGTTCAAAGCACCAAACAATATTATTGCTTTTACTAGATTCATTTTACTAAGACATGCAATCCGATGCTTACATTCTATAATGAATCGCAGTAGACAAGCAATAAGTTTACAAGCTTAAAACTGAAGACTTTTGACACGAAAGTCCGTGCAATTAGTATAAGCCTTCTAAACGTTCAAGACCTACCGGCCGACTATGCAGCCACTGCCATTTTTACATCACTTGACATTATATATCCCACCTTTCGATAAGTCTCAGACTGAATCACCGTAGTCTTTGACTGTCGCTTATTGAATGGGGCTTTAATTTCTTGAAGAGGTCGCAGGCCTTTTGAGACGTGCAACATTTGGACGTTTGCGGTTAGGTCTCATGATAGTGTTATATGAATTACGGAATGATAGGGCGTGAGTGACAGATACTGCTATCACCAGAGCTTCTAGCCATGATGGTGCGTATGCGTGAATAGTTCTTACTTGGGGTCCATCGCTGGTACTAGGTAAGTCGATTCAATGTGTAAGCTACCCCCTTCTCACTTTCCCTCTGATGACACATTGCAGGTAAATCACACTCTACTCTTGTTCTTATTGTTGTATAACTCACCCATTCTCGCCCTCCTCTTTAACCGTGATCTTGAAAAGGCTTTCAAGTTCTGATTATAATGTTTAAGTACTACTGTTTTTCCCGTTTTCCATGAGTTCTGGAATGCATCAACCTTCCATCGAATGTTCTTTCATCGCTTGTTCATTCTCATTGTTTTCCGCGAAATGATCTAATTTCTTGCATTGCGTCATTTACAATGCATACGTGTTATTAGTTTTTATAGCTCTAGTTTCATCTAACTCATTCATTCCAACTCTCCATAACCCGAATTTCAGTCTAGAGTCAATTTCCGTACTTGTCCATCCACAATATCAATTGAACAAACCAATATCGATTCCCCCGGCTTTTATCTGTTCTCATCTCCCTTCACGCATAGACCATTTCATTGTTCTGATCTCAAGTAAATCTGTTCACAGGCTCGGGATCTGTCCCGAAAGATCGAATCTTACTCCATACCATCTGTCCCTCGCTTGTTTCTTTATTCCTTCCTCGTCTCTATTCTGTACGCCTCGGCGCTCATTTCTTTCTACCTCATTAGTTCCTTTCTCCTTAGCTCCTCGGTACCTCGAACGCAATCACATAATTCCGCGAACAGCTAACCACAGCTCTTTCACCACTCTATCCGTCCTTCCGTCATCAATTGCTTCGACTTGGTTCGTTTAAACTCCTTGGTAAAACAGCAAGTATCTAAAATTCCTTTGTTCTCTTATTCCCGAACGTTCCTGGTCCTTGTTTCAAGTGGTAAAGCAGCAAGTTCCTACAAGTTCTTTGTACATTTTTTTTTTACGTTTATGTCAGGCGAGCTCGTCAGACGGGGAAATCGGAGTCGGACATGCAGCGTAATGCGCGTGTGCGATGGATCTGGAAATTCGGAGTCAGGGGAAGGACATGATTCTTTGTTAGAGACGAGATTGGAGATAAGAACCAGAAGGGGTTACGTAGATGCGGCCGTAAGGGAGATCGCTTTGAGTGAGAAAGTCGGAGTTTGGATTGATGGGGCTGAGAGAGGTGGGGGTCTGATGTGATGGGTGGAATTATGGCTAGATGAGGTGATTGAGATTTTAGGTGGATAGGTAGGTTTTCTTTATTCGTAGAGGTGATCATTGAGGATGGAGTACAATTCGGAGTCCGGCTCCGTGGTATAGAATAGAGCCATAGGTGATGCAATAATCAATAAATGGACATTGTATCAGATGAAATCTTAGACCAAGCTAAAGTGATTGCAATAGAAACAACCCCAAATTGGTAGATCTGAAGGTATTCGCAACCATTACAGAAGAGGTTCTCTCTCCAGGTAGTCTGAAACGAGAGGGATCAATCCCTAGATATAATTTTTCCAGGTTTCTAAGTTTGTTTAGTTCTGGGAACATACCGATGACTCTGTTTTCTTGTCCTGTTGATCCACGTGTATTTTCTCGATTCGTGAAGATGTTATCGTAGGTTAGTGTCTCTCGGTGTATCGTGTTCATAGTTTCTTTGTTCGATTTTTAACTCTTCACTAGCGGATCGATAGTTGGAGTAGCTAGGTAGGTAGGAAAAATCCGACATATGTGAGAACGAGCAGTTGCAATAGATCGTTCTCTAGAATACGCCTACAATACTCCCTTCATGTCTGCAAAGTTGACTTTGGAATTTTGAGAATAGTAAATCGTCCATCTCGTTCTCATAATCTACAGTCGTTTTATTCCAGCTACCTTCTACCCACCCACCAACCAGCCAAACATCATCTCGTAGAATATGAATCCAAAAACCGTGCCCTCTACCATCCAAAAACATCACCTTGGCGGAGTGATATTGAGTATTGCTTAATATTGGAATGATGTGAATAGGTACAATGGCCCACGTCGATAGTAGAACACATTGGGAGACTAGGCCTCCCGGCTGAACTTTTGCTATTTTGGTTGTGAAGCAGAGAGAGTTGGTTAGTAGTTTTTTGGTTTTTGTGGATGGAGGTGAAGTGAAAGTGGGGGCGCGCGAATGTGAATGGAGATGGTGAGATAGGACGACAGCATGTGGGACGAGTATATATTTTGAGGAATAAGGTATTGAATGAATGATGATGAATAGAGGTGAGATGGGTTAGTTAAATGGGTGTTATGGAGGCACAATCAATGAATTATGGTATGAGTTCTGTTCCAGTTTTGATAAGTATCACAAAAGATTTCACTTTACTCCAAAGGAAAAACTCACAACCTGGATTCGGCTCTACCACTGTAAGAGCTGGGCTTACAATGTGAAGAGAATATTTTATTACCTCAAAGGTCTATGAGGCAGATATTGGATGCAAAATTAGGTGTCTTTAATAGTGATTTGCTCTCAACCTACGCGCCATGTTTCTCATAGCGTCATCTTCTATTGTAAGCTCGAAGAAGTCTCTAGTGCACACTCTGATACAAATACTATTTAGGTAGGTTAGGAACTTTTATGCATCAATGTGTCTTTCAGCCGAACCTAATTGCATCTTAAAGTCTTCCTTCCATCTAATGGACCAAACCAGATTCGAGTATATTTTCCGTCTCGATATTCACTCTACTCTTGCAAATACGTTGCACATGAAATATAAACATGATCGTCACTTACGCACAATATACAAGCATCATGATATAGAATCTACAATTAACCTTGACCTCAACTCCATCTCTGCGCTACCAATGCTAGTATTCTCTATCGTGAACTTAGGTATCTCCTCCCAAGATCATCAAAATATTCCCACAAACGTACTCTACACCTCACTGAACTTCGAATTCTAGTTTTCTCGAAAGATAGCTTCCATCTCATCCGTCCAGCCACTAATATCCGTCACTTCATAAGCATCTCGTAAAGGAGTATCGCTCAAAGAAGACCCATCACTTAGCTCCGAATCCTCGACAAAGTCCGAAGAAGACTCTTCTTGCAAAGGTGTCGTGTCACTGACATACGAATCGTCGGAAACGAAAGATTCTCGCACAGAAATTGTCTCCTCGATATCCCAATCACTTGAAGTATCCCTCAGAGGAGTCCAATCATTGAGCTCCGAATCCTCAGAGAAGTCCGGAAAAGTATTCCTCAAAGCCCCATCGAGGTCCAAATCCTCAGTGAAATCTGGAGAAGCATTTCTTTGCAAAAGCGTCGTATCACTCATATAAGAGTCTTCAGAAGCGTCTCGCACAAACATTTTCTCTTCAATATCCCAATCGCTCGAAGTATCCCGCAGAGACCGCTCATCATCCACAACAGGCCCACTAGAAGATTCCAGCAGAAGCATCCTATCTATCCTTGATATCCTTGGCGCCAACTCCATCTCAGGAGACCGCTCTCTCTCAAACGGATCAAAACTTCTGATCTCCAGACTTCCATCCTCTGTCGTGATCAACAACATCCTCTTCACATATTCGCGAAGGGAACTATCATTTCCGGCCATAGAAGAAATGATCAGTCGAAGAGTTAACGAGGATTTCGCATTCATATAAGCAAACAAAGCAAGCGAATCACCCAGAAAAGGATCCCCCTCAAACTCCGTATCCAGATCATCGAAATGCTCTTCCCATCTCTCCACAAGCAATTGTCGATTCACAGGATTGTCTTGATGAATACACACAAACAGCTGTCGAAATATATATCCAGGAAGAATTCGCAGCGCGGCGACAACTCTGCTCATGGTGAATTCTCTCTCCTCTTGTCGCGCTTCGATTTCTGCTTGCATGGTTTCCGATTTTTCTTGGATGGTGGGGATGTCGAGGTCTCGGGTGGCGATGAGACGGGCGATGACATATTCAAGCTCATCGATCTGGAGTTTCATGGCTAGTTTGTTTGTTAGTATTTTTTTGACTTGTGTTAAGGGAATCCACATACCAGAAGCGATTACCTCCCGTCCGGCGACAGTACGCGCCATTTTTTTATAATATACTTTGTAAGTTGACGACAAAAGTTGATATTGCACTGAGAAAACTCTTGTCGAAAAGTCAGATATGCTCTCTGTAGATGCGACTTAAAAGCTCAATCTGTGTTGTGTGATCTGTATTGAAGGTGTGGAGGATAAAAAGCCAAACCGGGAAATTATTTTCAACCTTTCATAAGTACAATAATGGATTCTTGTATCCAGCAGCCTCAGAGACGAAATGCTCAAGGCTGGCGAATCCACATAATGAATTATATGATAACAAGTAACACGGCTACCCAGAGAATAATTATTGTGGTTTAGTAATTCATACATATACACCACACTGTACTACCGAAGCAGAAATAGTATTCATTCACTATTTCACAAATGCGTTCCAATATTATGGTAGGTGTATAAAGGCTTGTGTTGTAACGACTATTGTATAGAGACTATGGAATCAAGAGAAGATATATCTCTATCACTAATAAGTAATGCTAGCCAGTTTACATGTAGGACAGTGAATTGCTTCAATAAATATGATATGAATACCAATTTCTATTCCATTCCGTTTCATAACCTCAATCTTCTCTATCACCCAGATATACCAACCTACCATCAATTTCTTTAAATCCCTACAGAAACCCCTCATTTCTCGTCCTTTCACCCCTCTATAATCCACCCCTCCAAATCCATCTCCTGATCTCCTTATCCCCTCTCACTTTCACTTTCACAGACAAATACCCTCTCCTCCCCTTCTCTATTCCTCCACCCCCCTCACTTCCACACACACACACCTAATATCACCAATCCTCCCACTTGAAACCCATCCACTACAAACCCATCCACTACAAACCCAACCCTTCCATATCCACCACCCTCTCCAAGCTACAACAAAGACCACAATAGAGTGTGATGTTTCCCCAACTCCCTAGCGAACTCGACCTCTAGATATCATGATATTAGTATCATCACATCAATCTTTAGAATACCATCTCTCATCTCCCATCTCCCATCTCCCATCTCCCAGCTCCCAGCTCCACTCATCTCACATACATACCTCCACTTAACGACTCACAACTCACAACCCACAATCCTCTCGAATTCCTTTCAAACTTCACAAAGGTACCATTACTTCACCACATCACTACACTCCTATCATCATTCTTCCCTCTCCCTCTCCCTCTCCCTCTCCCTCTCCCTCTCCCTATTCTTCCCAAGAAAACCTCCCAATCTCCCAATTCCCAATCCTCTCAATTCCCAATCCTTCCCGTTAAACAAAACCTCACAACTTTGTATCTCACTTCACTCCACTTCGTTTCACTTCACTTTACATCTCATGTCATCTCATCTCATCTCATCTCATATCATCCATCATATCATCCATCACACAACCACAATAACACAAGCCAAGCCCAATCGATCGTTAACAAAGCATTGACAAAACATTAACAAATTATCAAATTATCAACAACAAACCAACCAACCACAACTAACCAAGTAAAAAGAGAGGAGAGTGAATGCGTAGAGTGAAGTGGATTTCATCTCTGCATGTTTGTATAGTAGATTAGCCGCTATCATACTATACATCAAGTCATTCATTCATTCATCTATCAAGATAATACATCACATCACACCATGCATCACATCACAAGACAAAATAATAGCAAATTGGAGTTGTGAAATCATCAATTCTCTCTCCATCACCATCACTCTCATCCTCAAAATTAATCTCCCCTCCCCTTCCTTTCTTCAAAAATGTACAAACATCCCTTCACGTCCCCACTCCCCCCGATCAATTCATCTCCATCCACAAATCCCACCTGCAAACAATGCAATGCAATGCATAAATACACATAACAAGCAGATATCCCTCCAAGATGCCATCCAATCCAATTCCTCATTATGAAACGCCCAAAACCATTTATGCATGCATGCTGATATCACCCTCCCATAATCATCTCCATCGCAACAAAAAAGTAAGTAAAATCCCAAGTCTACGCCTGCCCATCCCTTCGTTAACATCCCAACCAACCCATCCCATGCCATTTTAATTCATCATTCCTTATCGTGACAGACATTGATCTAATAAAAAAAAGGAAAAAGAAACCATAAGAATATGAGAAAAGTTCTTAATCCCATCCCAATACAAGAAAACTCCCAAAGGTATATGCCACATTCCATGTTTTTGTCTCTTCTCAGTTTTCGCATCTCGCTCCAAAGTTGTATAAAAATATTGTTCAAGAATTGAAAGTTGTTAAGGTGAAGCCCTTCCAGCTGCATCATTTTGTATCGAATGAAAAGAAGGCATTGTTGGTACCGGCGGTATCTCATCATTAAGTCTTTTGGTCGACGAAATATTCAATACGCGATACAACAAACTCTTTCTCTTTCCATCAGCGCGTTTATAAGAAAGTTGTTGGACTCCTCCGGAACATTCGGTACGAGGGCCCATTGTTCTACCACCACTTGGAAGACGTCTCATGGCAGCTCCAAGCTCACTTCGGTGATCCCATGTTGGGGAACCTTCGCTACTTTTTCGTTTGAGTTCTTCTTCCCAACCATATATATCGGCACTGGCACTGCTTGCACAAGAATTGCTGCTGACAGTCGAACAGGAATAGATACTACTAGCAGAAGAACACACGATGCTGGTATCGGCTAATAGTGATTCGTCGGGAGACCGATCGTCCATGATAGTACTAGTTGACGAAGTAGTCGTTGCTAGGCTTGTCCTCGATGAGTGAGCTTCCGAGTGTGCTGAAATCCAAGTACCATTATCTCCCTCGAAGTCGAAGTCCGCATGAACTTCAGTATCGGTAGTTGTCGTTTCTGAAGACTTTCTTGGTTCCTCTCGTTCAATCACCTTCGCTGGAATATAGAACGGCGAGCCTGCAACTTGCATCATCTTCGCTTTGGCCATCTCCTTCTCATTTACAGCTGACCCCAGTTTTGCGGCCACGTCATTCTCTCCAATACCTCTACTCATACTCCTCCCTCTTCTATGTTTGCCCAAGTCTGGGACCTAGAAAACCCAAATGAAAAATCCTTCTCCTTGCCAACATGCATTGATGCCAGGTTTGCAACGAGCGAAGGCCGACGTCCAGAAACATCAACTGGTGAACCGGGATGCGCGACCATAAATGGTGATGCTCCTTGAGTTGATTTCAGTGTTGTGTCAACGCGAGGCTGCGATGCCTTCTTTGTCAAGGTGGAGTTGTTCATGGGATTTTCGATTGGTCGATTCATCGAGCAAGGAATATTAGAAAAAGCATCAGAAAGTGGTGACGCGACCTGCTCCCGTCATGGTTGACTACCATTTTGATCATCACTCACGCTGTGGCGTCGCGAACTACTTGTCGATCCATGTGCAGATCGACTCTTCTTGAAACCGAGCTTCGCACCCATCTTCTTCCAGCTAACACTCCCTTCACGAGAATGACGTGGGCTAGTTCCAGGCGAATCACTTACGAAACCAGTATCTGAAGTGGGTGGGGTTGTTGGAGGAGTTATTGGTTCCATTGGAGATGGCGAATCAGTATCGTCTGTGAGACTTTCAGATTCGATCGAGGAGGTTCCCGAGGATCCAGACATGAATGTTGACAAGCGAGCAGAAGTTACGCGACCTAATGCAGCGGTAAGATGTGGATGTTGAGGTGGTCTTTGCGATGGAAGGCTGTGAGAATGAGATATCTTATCTCCACTGAGAGGCGGACTTCCCTTTCTCGTGCGTAGTCGAGAATGAGACATGGATCGCTCATCCAACGATTCGGCCATGGCAGCAGCGTCAACAAATGACTCATTCGAGGCCCACGGGCTGTGTTCGGAGGCACGTGATGGAGGAGCAATTGAATTCAGGAATGGAACCAATACAGATTCGTCCATCAGCTCATATATGATCTTAACAGCTTGGTCCAATTCTCTTGGGTCTGGCGCCTCGTATATGTTCGGTAAATGCATTAGTCGATCCCTAACATCAGAAGGTAAATTCACTTCTCGTGGCCCATTTGGCGCGATATATGCATCCAACAACTTTCGCCATAACATTCGTACATATTCGGAATCTTGATCGGTTGGGATAGTGGTGAGTATGGATCTCTGCCGTGTGTGGCCTGATAATGTTTCTTATATCTGGTTGCATCCATTGTAAACTCTAAAGTTTCCAAACAATGATTTTGTGACAGGTATGCCATGAAGGCGCTCAAAGTCCATGGTGGAGGTGCAGCATCCGACAAGACCTCTTGTAACGTTGGCCGCCTTGGACAATAAGGGCCAGGTGGGATCGAAAGATTTAGAGATCTCGAACTCGACGGTAAATATTCTCCTGACGACATGAAGCCCTCGTCGTCGGCGTCGCAGTCCGAAATGACGGATGAACAACGCGGTGATGATTCTCTCGAGTACGTTTCAACGTATAGTGGGGGAGGTTTTCTTGTTTTCGATTTTCGCATCGCGCTTCGAAGGTATCTCATGGATACTATTTGTGATATGTGTACACTTTATTGCTTTCTCCTATATGATTTAATTTCCCACTTATTCTATCTCGTAGAATTTATCGGGTGTGAAGAGAAAAGCAAGTGCTATCGTGTGCCGCTCATTTGTCAGAAACAAATTAGTCCAAAGCAGGTCGTCAAAATAGGTGTTTGCTGCAAGGTACAGTAACTCGATTCGATGAAGGCTGCGTGGAAGGCAAGCCAGTCGTGATCTGGTGGAATGCAGGCTACCGCAGAGTACCGAATTTTGACAGGGGACTTTTCCAATAATTCAACCACTCAAAGAGGTGTTGAATCACAAAACCGGATAAGCACCGAAGGTCGTGGCGGTTGATATTCTTCTGGAAACGAGTCTCTGAAGTTCGGAAACGTTGTGTATCGAAGTCAGAAATAAGGTCGCAATGGTGAGAGGCTGAATGGGACTAAGCCTTCTTTTTTTTTCAAGTTCTTCGTAGTGCGACGTTCTAAAGTAATACAAATGTGACCTTCTAAAATCAAACCAGGCTGAGAGATGAATCCTTAGAATTAAGTTTATTTTCGTCGTTTGGGAATAGAGAATGGATGAAGTCTCAGCAAAGCAAGAACGTCAAAGATTAAAATGAAGTATTAGAGCGGATAGAAGAACAGTAAAATGGATTGATTGAAAGAGTGATCCGATTTTTCGAAACAATGTAGTAAATCTAGATTTTCAGAATAATCTCCTCGGTGAAGTTGGGACCAGAGTAGGTGGGTTTTGAATCAGATAATAGCTTAAATGAGGGCTTTGACAAGATGTCAAGTTTGAGAATGCGCCAGATGATAGATATAGAACGAAAAAGCTCCTCGTGTTTGAGGAATCGAGATTGAGGGATATAATAAGATCCGATGTCCAAGCTATTATTGGTGGGTGGAAAAAAGAGAGACTTGAGATGTAAGAGATTGTAATTGTAATTGTAATTTGTGATTTGTTGTGGTGTAGTGTAGTGTTGTGTTGCGTTTTGACGTGTGGTGTATGTTGAAAGTCTGACGACGACGATGAATTGGTAATGGTGATGATGATGATGATGATGATTCTCGTGTGTATGTGAAAGGTGTGTGTGTATGTGGTGTGTATGTCTGTCTGTGTGTGGTATGTACGGTAATGTGGATGTTGGTGTAGCTATCTATGAAAATGATTGAATAATCGACTGGACGCTACGGAGTATGGCGATGGTAAACTCTCCGACCTTTCTTATTATTAATTGTCGAATGGATCTAACAATTGGACCAATTTCCTTGATAATGATAATTATAATAAAAAAGAGTAAGAGTAACGGTAAAAAATAAATAAACAAGGACGGGATGGATGTGAAGATGAACGATTTCTACTATACAAAAGAGTAAAAAGTAAAAATGGCGGCGGTAGAAGATTCGTAGAATCGAAGGTCAAGTGAGAATTATGGATCTTTTTCACTAAAGAATTAGCATCATAAGAAGAGTTTCCCTTCTCTTCCCTGACTGCTTTCTTTCCTTTCCTCTCAAATATTCAAACCAAAATCATAACCATGATCCTTGATGGTTCCAGAAAAGGGCAGGATAGGATAGGGATAGCGTGGAGGGTGGAGCAAAAGAGGAGTGAAGTGAGATGAGTGGAGCAAGTGTAGATGGATGATTCTGTGTGGATATGTGTTGGATAAAATCGGGATTCGGTAGACCAAAGTGATGCTAGTCTGGAAGGTTGACCAATTTTGGGGAGAGAGAGGAGAAGTTTGAATACGAGGTTGGGTCTGGCCAAGAAGCATATATATGAATTATGGAAAGATGTATATATTTTATGTCAAGGGATGGATGGTGATGAATGATGGAGTGATGGGGTGATGGGTGATGGGTGATGGAGAGGTGATGATAGATGATGGATGATTGATGATTGATGGTTGATTGAATTTCTGTATGATATGTATGAGAAGGATGATATCCAGAGGAGAAAGGCGTAGTATGGTCAGTATGGTTTGATGTGTGGCCTTGTCTTGCTTGCACTGCACTGAAAAGAGAAGAGTGACTTTTCCAAAAGTGGCCAGTGGTGGTGGTGGTGGTGGTGGATATGTGTGGGTGAGGGAGTGAGTGAGTGGGTTCAAGGTTGATTTGAAATGAGACCTCTTACTCGTTGGCTGGTCTCCAAAAGTGGATCGAGAGTGACGGAAGTGGTGATACAAAGATTGGTAGTGATTGTGACTGTGACTGTGACTGTTGATACCAGTGGCTGGGTGGGTTACTTTGCACCGCCGTTTGCTTGTTTCAAGGGATGTTGTGAAAGAGAGACCGAGTGAGTGAGGGTTGATGTATTTATCGGATGCCGTGGTCCAAGTATGAAATGTGAAATGTTGAGTGTTGAAATGTGTTCAGAGGTGAAGGTGGTATTTGCTTCTTTTTTCCTCAATTGGGGGATTTGCACAAGAGTGTTGATGTACTCGGATGATGATGATCTTGTAACTCTCTGGTGATTCAACGACGACCTTGTATGACGTTCATATATGATGCTCATGTATGATGCTCATGTATAATCCTCATAGATAATCCTCATGTAATCCTCATATATAATCCTCATATATAATCCTCATAGATAATCCTCATATATAATCCCCATATGTGCATATCACACAGATATCCAATTTATCCAATATTTATTCCGGGGTCATGGAAATAATAGAACACTGAGAAAAGAACTTCTGGAACTTCTACCCTACGTTCGATGGTGGGAGTTTCTTATCCTGGTCACCTTACGAATCTGAGACGGAAGGGAATCCACTAAATACCCGTGGTCATGCTAGGTACCAGGTGGGCAGCTTCTCATCGGTAAAAAGAGCGAGGGAGAGAGATCAAGCTAAGGGAAATAAACCCAAGAGGTGTCCACTGCGCTAGAAATGCGCTAGAAGATTTGATAGCCACGCTCAACGCCATCGAATCAAATGGTCATATTCTTTGCTAATCCATCGAGCGTATCACCAATCATCCAATCACGGTCCATGCACACTTTCGTCATGCGCTCAGATCCCATTCAGGAATAGTGTCGAAGTTCACAGATGCTTCTTGGAACAAGGATATAGATTGCTGTTCTGAATCAATCGTTAAAGCAGCAGCCCGTCACTCTCTCCATCCCCTCACGAAAAACTGCGTACGTTTTCACTCCCTACATGGGTATCGCCAGGTTTATCAGCAGCAGTCAACAATCAACGGAGTTAATGAGATTCTTGGCCGAGCTCTCGATTCTTGGTTTCTTCTTGGCACGCATGGATCCTGCTAACACTAATCGATAAATCGTTCCATCATTCGAATGATTTGATGCTTACGGCGTTGCGCGATGGATGTCGGAGGAAAAATAAATGGATCTTCATTATTAAGCATCAGGAGGATAACTGGGGATTTCTTAGCATGGGCAGGGCAAGGACAAGCACAATCTGTGACATGATGTAAAGTCCTCACTAGGGGATCCCTCTGGAAGTTTCAAGCTTTGAAAATGATCTGTCCAAAATATCCGAAGACTTGAAAGGATGATTCTTGATGACTGTGTGCCGCGTTTGAGAAG